TAATTGCTCTAGCTAGGACTTTCAGTACTGTGTTGAATAACAGTGGTGAAAGTGGGCATGTTTGTCGTCATGTTTTGAATCTTAGAGGAAAGGCTTTCAGTTTTTCCTCATTCAGCATTATACTAGCTATGGGTCTGTCATATATGGCTTTTATTATGTTAAGGTATGTTTCTTCTATCTCAAGTTTTTTGAGGGTTTTCATCATGAAGGGATTTGAACTTTATCAAATGCTTTTTCAGCATCAGCTGAAATGATCTTATGGTTTTTGTCCTTTAGTCTACTGTTAGGATGTATCACATTAATTGATTTGCATATGTTAAACCATCCTTGCATTCCAGGGATAAATTCCACATGGTCATGGTGAATGATCTTTTTAATGTATTGTTGAATTCCATTTGCTAATATTTTGTTATATATATTTGTTGTTGTTGAGGATTTTTGCATCAGTATTAATCAACTATATTGGCCTGTAGTTTTCGTTTTTTATGTGTCTTTGTCTGATTTTGATATCAGGGTAATAATGGCCTTGTAGAATGAATTTGGAGGAGGAAAGGAAGGAGAGAGGGAATGAGGGAAAGAAGGAAGGGAAGGGAGAATGAATTTGGATGGCCTTGTAGAATGAATTTGGATATATTTTCTTCTTTATTTTTCAGAATAGTTTGAATAGGGTTGGTATTAGTTCTTCTTTAGATGTTTGGTAGAATTTAGCAGTGAAGACATCAGATCCTGGGATGTTCCTTGCTGGGAGAATTTTTATTATGACTTGATCTCATTACTTGTTATTAGAGTGTTCAGATTTTGGATTTCTTTGTGGTTCAATCTTGGTAGGTTGTATGTGTCTAGAAATTTGTCTATTCCTTCTAGATTTTCCAATGTATTACCATATTGTTGCTCATAGTAGCCACTAATGATCCTTTGAATCTCTTTGGTATCAGTTGTCATGTCTTCTTTTTCATCTCTGATTGTATTTATTTGGACCTTTTCTCTTTTAGTTACTCTTGCTAAAGGTTTGTTGATTATGTTTAACTTTTCCAAAAAACAACTTTTTGTTTCATTGATCTTTTGTATTTTCTTCATTTCAATTTCATTTATTTCTGCTCTAATATTTATTATTTATTTTCTTCTACTAATTTTGGGTTTGATTTGCTCTTGCTTTTCTAACTCTTTAAGATGCATTGTTAGGTTGTTTGAAGTTTTTCTTTTTTTGGTGTGGCACTTATAGTGATAAGCTTCACTCTTAGTACTGCTTTTGCTATATCCCATAGGTTGTGGTATGTTGTGTTTCCATTATAATTTTTTTTCAAGATTTTTTTTTTTTTTTTTGAGATGGAGTTTTGCTCTTGTAGTCCAGGCTGGAATGCAATGGTATGATCCCGGCTCACCACAACCTCTGCCTCCTGGGCTCAAGGGATTCTCCTGCCTCAACCTCCCAAGTAGCTGGGATTACAGGCATGCACCATCATGCCCAGTTAATTTTTGTATTTTTAGTAGAGATGGAGTTTCTCCATGTTGGTCAGGGTGGTCTCGAACTCCTGACCTCAGGTAAACTGCCTGCCTCAGCCTCCCAAAGTGCTGGGATTACAGACATGAGCCACTGCGCCCAGCCAGGAAATTTTTTAATTTTCTTCTTAATCTCTTCATTGACCCATGATCACTCAGAAGCATATTGTTCAATTTCAAAGTATCCATTTTCCAAAATTCTTCTTGTTATGAATTTCTAATTTTATTCCATTGTTGTCAGAGCTTTGCTATTATTTCCATTTTTTGAATGTTGTAAAGACTTCTTTTGTGACCTAACATGTGGTCTGTCCTTAAGAATGATCCATGTGCTGAGGAAAGAATGTGTATTCTGTAGCCATTGGATGAAGTGTTCTGTAAATATCTATTAGATCCATCTGTTTTATAACGTAGACTAAATACGATGTTTCTTTGTTGATTTTCTGTCTAAAAGATCTGTCCAATGCTAGAAGTGTTGAAGTCTCCAGTTACTGTTGTATTGGAGTCCATCCCTCTGTTTAGCTCTAATAATATTTGCTTTGTACATCTGGGTACTCCAGTGTTGCGTGCATATATATTTAAACTTATTATATCCTCCTGCTGAATGGATACCTTTATTATCATATAGTGACCTTCTTTGTCTCTTCTTATAGTTTTGTCTTAAAATCTATTTTATCTGATATAAGTATAGCCACTCCTGCTCTTTTTGGTTTCTTATTGGCACGGAATATCTTTTTCTATCCCTTATTTTCAGTCTGTGTGTGTCTTTATGAGTGAAGTGTATTTCTTGTAGGCAACAGAATCAATTAGTCTTTTTGTTGACTGGGGCTGGAGGTGTCCATTCAGTAACAGTAGGTGTTTTGGTTGGAGAGTTTAGTTCATTTACATTCAATGTTATTACCGATAAGTGAAGACTTACTCCTGCCATTTTGTTGTTTGTTTTCCGGCTGTATTGTGGTCTTCTCTTTCTTCTTTTCTTCCTTCCTATCTTCCTTTTAGTGAAGGTGATTTTTTGTGGTCATATGATTTAGTTTGTTTTTTATTTTTGTGTATTCATTGTATGATTGTTTTTGTTTGAGGTTTTCCATGAGGCTTGCAAATACTATCTTATAAGCCATTATTTTAACCTGATAACTACTTAACACTTTTGCATAAGCAAACAAACAAGCAAAAATAAAACAAATAACGACTCTACACCTTAACTTCATCTCCCTGCTTTTAAACTTTTGTTGTTTCTATTTATATCTTTTTGTACTATGTCTTGAAAAGTTGTAGTTATCATTTTTGATTGGACATTGTTTAGTTTTTCTACTTAAGAAAAGAGCAGTTTACACACCACAGTCACACTGTTATAATAGTCTCTTTTTCTGTGTACTTACTGTTATCAGTGAGTTTTATACCTTCAGATGATTTCTTATTGTTCATGAACATCCTTTTTTTGTTATAGCAAAAAATCAGAAACAACCTAAACATTCATCTACAGGAGAATGGATCAATTCATGTTGGAATAACATTATAATAGAATAATAAACAGTAGTTTAAATGAATGAAGAAGATCTTCATGTTTCAACACGGGCAACTGGCTTTTTTAAAAAGCAGAGAAAATTGAATTTAAAATGCAAGTGGCAAAGGAAACACATTATAAGATAACTTATCTAAATTTTAAAATTATGCAAAACTACTTCACATATGCATGTACAATGTGCATGGGAATTATAAACACTGTATTTAAGACAGTGGTTCACATGAGAAAAATGTGAGAGAATAATAAGGCTGAGGATGAAGAGGGTTTCATAGGATATTTTTACTACATTAGTAGTGTTTATTTCTGAAGATATTTGAAATGAAGATTCTTTTCAATATCTTCAGAAATGAAGATACCACTGACACCTTGCAATCTCGGCTCACTGCAACCTCCGCCTCCCGGGTTCAGGTGCTTCTTCTGCCTCAGCCTCCCAAGTAGCTGAGATTACAGGTGTGCACCACCATGACTAGCTCATTTTTGTATTTTTACTAGAGACGGGGTTTCGCTACATTGGCCAGGCTGGTCTCGAACTCCTGACCGCAAGTGATCTCCCCACACCAGGCTGGTCTCGAACTCCTGACCGCAAAGTGATCTCCCAGCATCGGGCTCAACAAATTGATGGGACGCTACAGCAGTGAGCCACTGCACCCAGCTAATCCTTTAGATTTAAAGAGTCAAAGAGAATAACTAAATGCAATGTGAACTTTTGACAGAAACAGCTGTAATAGATGTTTGGGGGACAATTAACAAAAATATTTTTAAATATGAACTGATGTAATATGACACTAAGGGATTATTACACTTTTAGGTGTGACCATGTTATGTATTTATCAGCAATGTCGTGATAAGAGAATATCCTTATTCTTAGGGAGATTCACATGCGTGCGTTTGGGGATAATAAGTTACGATGTCCACCATTTACAGTCAAAATACGTTGAGGAAAGAAAACCATATTTATGTATACACTCACACATACATATGGAAAGACAGTATGAGAGAGAAAAAGTAAACTATGGCGAAATGTTAACTCTTATTTCATGTAAGTGGTGATGGTTCGTTGTGCTGTTCTTTTCCAATGATTCTAAGCTGGCACTTCTTTATTATAAAGTGTTGGGAAAACATATAGTGCTGAGTAGTATGAAATACCTTTAAATGTGAGGAAAGACAAGGGAGATAGATGAATATAAGGTACTCATTTGGCCTTCCCCATTCTTCACTACTAATTTCGTTGCTAATCCTGCAACTCCTCTTAATACATAGATTCATTTCATTTGGAAAAACAGATGTATCGTTATTTAACTTATAGAATCAACCATATTGTTTAGAAATGTATCCCATACTCTCTTAGAGTTTATAAACTTAGTGGGGAAGATGTAATTACATGCCAAAAAGTCAAAGGAAAAGATGAGCTATCTACAAAGAGGAACTTAGTCAACTGTTGTCTGATATCTGTCTGAGATTAAATGACAACATATAAATGAAATGTTTTGTATGATGCCTGGTACCAAAATAAAAGCTCTCAATAAACGTTAGTTAATATTATCATTATTAGGAATAATATTGAGAGATTACTTTTTAATCCTATGTGTTGGTCAAAATATGTGAATGATTGACCCAAGTTTGCATCCACTGATTAGTTAATTGGTTTAAAGGAAAGGATCCTAATTTTAATTCCATGGTCAATTTCATTTGTACATTGATTCAACAAATTTTTTCTCTTTATGTAGAAAAATATAATCATGAATGGGCTTTTAGCATTGATCCTCCTAAATCCTAATGCGCAGTTTATGAAAATGCATATATCGCATTTCTTTGTGGAAATAAAAGATCCATAGCTTTTCTCAACTTCCCAATGTGTATTGCCTGAAAAAAAAAAAATTAGGAGATTTTGTTTTAGAGTTCCCACATTTTCCTCACAGCCTGTGTCTTTCTGATTAGGGAGGGTTGATATAAAACCTGAAGACCGTTTCTAGACAATATGGGAATCAAGCTCACAGATAAAGAACTTGAAGATCTGACACAAAGCCTGCCAGTCGGTGGTGAGCATGCTAGATATCACTGGTTTCTGAGTTTTGTGTTCTGTGTGCTTTTAGCATTAGAAGGAAAGGGAAAAAAGAACTTTTCATAATGCAAATGGCAAGATTAAATAAGACAGTCAGAGTAACAAAGTAGGGAATGTAGTATTCTGAATACTAGCTGCATGGTCAATACAAGAGCCTTCCAAATTCTGGAGGACAAGAAAGCTGACCCTAGAAAAAGCCACTTTTGAATTTTATCTTTCCATTATCAAATATAAGATTTGCTGTTTTATGGGTTATAAAGTCAAATTTACATTTTCTAAATAAGTTTATTTTCAATATTTATAATTGTTTCTTCATCTTCGTAACATATTCTGAGTAATATTTATCAAAATGACTAAAGTGCTTAACAAAATGCCCAGTATACTTCCTAAGTGCTGCTACTAGGTGTTATAATCATAGGAGGGAGAAGAGTGTTCTTGTGATATAACATGTTATGAGCTTCAAATTATGCCTTTGTGTTATAGCTGATAATAAAGTGGCTCTGAAAGCATTGGAGGATGAAGTGGGAAAGCTTTTACTGGTAAGAATTGCTACACATGATTTGCAATAAATGATGATTTACACTAAAATTTTTAGCTGTATTTTTTCTAATATTCTATTGGTGGCTTATAAATTCACATATTTTCATATTTTGATAAAATATCTGCTCACACAGATTAATATTCATGCTTTTATCAAAACGAAAGAACTATTTATTGATAACATCTTTACATTCATTAGTACTGTTTTCCAACAAAATGGTTTCACCAGCACTTAGACCCAAATAACTAGATGAACACAGTGAAAACAGGGTGAAACATTAAAAGGATCAAAGTAATGAGTTCATTGCAAGTATCAACCACCTAGTTTTAAGCAAAAATGAAATATGTCATACTTGTTTTTGACTTTGCTTTCAATTATACTGTAAGTTGTGGGGTACATGTGCACACTGCAGGTTTGTTAAGTATGTATACATGTGCCGTGTTGTTTGCTGCACCCATTAACCCTGTCATTTCCATTAGGTATTTCTCCCAATGCTATCCTCCCCCATCCCCCACATCACGACTGGCCCTGGGGTGTGATGGGCCCCGGGGTGTGATGTTCCCCGCCCTGTGTCCAAGTGTTCTCATTGTTCAGTTCCCACCGATGAGTGAGAACACGCGGTGTTTGGTTTTCTGTCCTTGCCATAGTTTGCTCAGAATGATGGATTCCAGCTTCATCCATGTTGCTATAAAGGACACCAACCATCCTTTTTTATGGCTGCATAGTATTCCATGGTGTACATGTGCCACATTTTCTTAATCCAGTCTATCACTGATGGACATTGGGGTTGGTTCCAAGTCTTTGCTATTGTGAAGAGTGCCGCAATAAACATACATGTGCGTGTGTCTTTATAGTAGCATGATATATAATCCTTTGGGTATATACCTTAGTAATGGGATGGCTGGTCAAATTCATTTCATTCTGATCCTTGAGGAATCGCCACACTGTCTTCCACAATGGTGGAACTAGTTTACACTCCCGCCAACGTAAAAGCCTTCCTGGTTTCTCCACATCCTCGCCAGCACCGGCCATTTCCTGACTTTTTAATGATCGCCGTTCTAACTGGTGTGAGATGCTCTCTCATTGTGCTTTTGCTTTGCATTTCTTTGATGACCAGTGGTGATGAGCATTTTTCACGTGTCTGTTGGCTCCATTATTAACTTTTCTTTTGAAAAGTATCTCCGTTCATATATCCTTTGCCCATTTCTTGATGGGGTTGTTTGTTTTTTTCTTGTAAATTTGTTTAAGTTCTTGTAGATTCTGGATATTAGCCTCTGTCAGTTGGGTAGATTGCAAAAACATCTCCCATTCTGTAGGTTGCCTGTTCACTCTGATGCCTTTGCTGTGCAGAAACTCTTTAGTGTAATTAGACCCTGTTTCATTTTGGCTTTTGTTGTCATTGCTTTGGTGTTTTAGTCATGAAGCCTTTGCCCATGCCTATGTCCTGAATGGTATTGGCCAGGGTTTTCTTCTAGGTTTTTATGCTTTTAGCTCTAACATTTAAGTTCAATCCACCTTGAAATTAATTTTTGTATAAGGTATACATGATCCCGCTTTCAGCTTTTACAGTTGGTTGTGCGCAAGTTTTCCCGGCACCATTTATTAAATAGGGAATCCTTTCCATTTCTTGTTTTTTTGTCAGGTCTGTCAAAGATGAGGATGGTTAGATGTGTGTTTTTCTGAGGCCTCTGTTCTGTTCTGTTGGTCTATATCTCTGTTTTGGTACCAGTACCATGCTGTTTTGGTTACTGTAGCCTTGTAGTGGTTTAAGTCAGGTAGCATGATGCCTCCCGCTTTGTTCTTTTTTTGCTTAGGATTGTCTTGGCAATGTGGGCTCTTTGGTTCCATATGAACTTTAAGGTAGCTTTTCAATTCCGTGAAGAAAGTCATCAGTAGCTTGGGTTGGGATGCCATTGAATCTATAAATTACCTTGGGCAGTATGGCCATTTTCACGATATTGATTCTTCCTATCTGTGAGCATGGAGCATTCTTCCATTTGGTTGTGTCCTCTTTTATTTTGCTGAGCAGTGCTGAGTAGTTCTCCTTGAAGAGGTCCTTCACATCCCTGGTAAGTTGGATTCCGAGGTATTTTATTCTCTTTGAAGCAGTTAGAATGGAGTTCACTCAAGTGATTTGGCTCTCTGTTTGTCTCTTATCGGCGTATAAGAATGCTTGTGATTTTTGCACACATTGATTTTGTAATCTGAGACTTTGCTGGTTGCTTGTCAGCTTAAGGAGATTTCGGCTGAGACGATGGGGCTTAACATAAGCAGTCATGTCATCTGCAAACAGGGACAATTTGACACTTTTTCCTAATTGATACCTCTTATTTCTTTCTCCTGCCTGATTGCCCTGGCCAGAACTTCCAACAATATGTTGAATAGGAGACACTGTGTTGAATAGGAGTGGTGAGAGAGGGCAGCCCTGTCTTGTGCCGGTTTTGAAAGGGAATGTTCAGTTTTTGGTTGCTCATCTCAGTATGATACTGGCTGTGGGTTTGTCATATATAGCTCGGGACATTTGAGATATGCCTTTATCAATAATTTAGTTTCATTGAGAGCTTTAGCATGAATGACTGTTGAATTTTTGTTGGAAGGCCTTTTCTCCGTCTGTTGAGATAATCATGTGTTTTTCGTGTTTGGTTCTGTTTATGTGATGGATTACGTTTTACTGGAGGAGTGACGCTTGAACCAGCCTTGCATCCCAGGGGTGAACCCAACTTGATCTTGGTGGCGTTTTGATGTGCTGCTGGATTCGGTTTGCCAGTATTTTATGGAGGATTTTTTTGCATCGATGTTCATCAGGCTATTTATCTCAAAATTCTCTTTTTCTTTGTTAGGCCTCTGCCAGGCTTTGGTATCAGGATGATACTGGCCTGATAAAATGAGTTAGGAGGATTCTCTCTTTTTCTATTGATTGGAGTAGTTTGCATGAATGGCAAATCAGCTCCTCCTTGTACTTCTGGTAGAATTTGGCTGTGAATCCGTCTGGTCCTGACTTTTTTGTTGGTAGCCTATTAATGATTGCCTCAATTTCAGAGGCTGTTATTGGTCTATTCAGTGATTCAGCTTCTTCCTGGTTTAGTCTTGGGAGGGTGTATGTGTCCAGGAATTGATCCATTTCTTGTAGATCTTCTAGTTCATTTGCATAGAGGTGTTTATAGTATTCTCTGGATGGTAGTTTGTATTTCTGTGGGATCGGTGTGATATCCTTTATCATGTAAGTTATTGCGCTTTCTCATTTGGTTCTTCTCTGTTTTCTTCTTTATTAGTCTTGCTAGCGTTCTATCAATTTTGTTGATCTCTTCAGAAAACCAGCTCCTGGATTCATCGATTTTTTTGTAGGGTTTTTTGTGTCTCTATCTCCTTCAGTTCTGCTCTGATCTTAGTTATTTCTTGCCTCTGCTAGCTTTTGAATGTGTTTGCTGTTGCTTCTCTAGTTCTTTTCATTGTGATGGTAGGGTGTCGATTTCAGATCTTTCCTGCTTTCTGTTGTGGGCACTTAGTGCTATACCCTCCACACACTGCTTTAAATGTGTCCCAGAGATTCTGGTACGTTGTGCCTTTGTTCTCATTGGTTTCAAGAACATCTTTATTTCTGCCTTTGTTTCAAGTATTTACCCAGTAGTCATCCAGGAGCAGGTTGTTCAGTTTCCATGTAGTTGTGTGGTGTTGAGTGAGTTTCTTAATCCAGAGTTCTAATTTGATTGCACTGTGGTCTGAGAGACAGTTTGTTGTGATTTCTGTTCTTTACATTTGCTGAGGAGTGCTTGACTTCCAATCATGTAATAATTTGGAGTAAGTATGATGAATGCTGCTGAAGAATGGGGAAAAGTCTGTTGATTTGGTCAGAGAGTTCTGTAGACGTCTATGAGGGTCCGCTTGGTGCAGAGATGAGTTCAAGTCCTGTGATATCCTGTTACCCTTGTGTTCTACATATCAAAGATGCACATACACAGGCTCATTTAACAGGGGTGATTGTAGATGAAAGTTTTCTGTTTTGGGTCACATGTCTGTGGAGGCTGGGCGTGGTGACTGCTGTCTGTAATCCCAGCACTTTGAAGTCCGAGGTGGGCGGGATCACTTCGAGGTCAGGAGCTTGAGACCAGCCTGGTCAACAAGGTGAAACCCCATGTCTTCTAAAAATACAAATTAGCTAGGTGTGGTGATACAGGGGGCTATCCTCAGCTATTCAAGAGGCTGTTGAGGCAGAGAATTGCTTGAACTCAGAAGATGGAGGTTGCAGTGGGCCGAGATCACGTGCCACTGCTCTCCACCCTGGGCAACAGAGAGGGAGACTCGTCTGGAAAAATAAAAACATGTCAGGAGGCTGGATGGCCGTGGGCTCACGCCCAGTCCCGGGCATTGGGAGGCCAGGAGTTGAAGACTACTTAGGGGAACATAGCAGATCTCTCATGTTTACAAAAAAGTAAAAGAAAAAAATAAACAGGTTGGTATCCTGGGCCATGGAGGGCAGTGGGCATCTTTAGCCTGTGATCAGTCATCACTTGATCCCAGCAGCACTCACGTCCTGTTCCCAGTACCTCTGTCATTGGTCCAAGGATGAGCATGACTCCTCACAGCCAGTCAGAGCCTTGGGGAGGGTCAGGGGGCCCTCTGGTGGTGGTTTCCAGCACAGCCCGCAGATCCTCCTTTGGTACTTAGGCCAGGGCATAGGACCTCCCGCTTGTGCTTGCGGGGGAGGATTAGCCTCCGAGATTCTGCTGAGAGACTGTCAAGGGGCACCAGCTGGAGCTGGTTCCCAGGTCTGCAGGAACCATCTGGTGCTCTCTCCATTCATAGCCCCTACCGCGAAGTTTTCCTCTGTGTCTTTGTGGCTTAGCCGAGTGTTCAGCGTAAAGGGCGGGGTGGAGGGCCCAAACGCTGTCATCCACGCTTGCTTTTCTCAAAACAGCAGGACACAAAATTTATAAACACGAACTGACGGTACCTGGTACGGCGGACCAATGCAAACCTCAGAAGGGTGCCAGGTTAGGGATTGGCCTTGAAGGTTCTTTGAGAAACTGTACACATTTCAGGTCAGGCGCGTGCCTCATGCCTGTAATCCCACCACTTTGGGGGAGGGCCGAGGCGGGCGGATCACGAGGTCAGGAGATCAAGACCATCCTGGCTAAGTCAGAAACCCCGTCTCTATTAAAAATACAAAAAATTACCAGCACGGTGGTGGGTGCCTGTAGTCCCAGCTTCTTGGGAGGCTGAGGCAGAATCATTTGAACCCAGGAGGCAGAGGTTGCAGTGAGCCGAGATCGTTAGAAGGCACCCAGCCTCAGTGACTAAAGTGAGACTCTCTCTGGAGAAGAAAGAAAAGAAGGATTTGAGGGAGAGAGAGAGAGAGAGAGAAATAAATGCTCAAAAGTTACTATAAATCATTGGAAAAAATTCCGCGACTCCATAATGATTGTAGTTTACTTGAAATATGAGGAATAAAAAGCAGGGTAAATCATACCACAAAGAAAAAATCACACAAATTCAAAATGATGTATCTCTCACAGGAAAAACCGCCTACTCTTTTAAAAAAGTTGGTGTCTGAAGGAAAGAAAAAGTGGGGGAGACTTTTTCCTCTCGACAAAGTCTCACTCTATTGTCTCCTGGCTGGAGTGCGGTGGTGTAATCTCACCACTGCAACCTCCGCCTCTCCCGGTTCAGGTGCTTCTTCTGCCTCAGCCTCCCAAGTAGCTGAGATTACAGGTGTGCACCACCATGACTAGCTCATTTTTGTATTTTTACTAGAGACAGGGGCCACACGTTGGCCAGGCTGGTCTCGAACTCCTGACCGCAAGTGATCTCCCCACATCGGCCTAATACCAAATTGATGGGATTACAGCAGTGAGCCACTGCACTCCAGCTAACTTTTTTAGATTTAAAGAGTCAAAGAGAATAACTAAATGCAATGTGAACTTTTGACAGAAACAGCTGTAATAGATGTTTGGGGGACAATTAACAAAAATATTTTTAAATATGAACTGGATGTAATATGACACTAAGGGATTATTGTTAATTCTCTTAGGTGTGACCATGCTATGTATTTATCAGCAATGTCGCATAAGAGAACATTCCTTATTCTAAAAGATTCATGGCATGCTGAGTTTAGGATAATAAGTTACGATGTCCACCATTTACAGTCAAAATACGTTGAGGAAAGAAAACATATTTATGTATACACTCACACATACATATGGAAAGACAGTATGAGAGAGGAAAAGTAAACTATGGCAAATGTTAACTCTTCATTTCCATGTTAGTGGTGATGGTTCGTTGTGCTGTTCTTTTCCAATGTTTCTGCATGTTTGCCATACTTTATTATAAAGTTTTGGGGGAAAAAACATAGTGCTGAGTAGTATGAAATACCTTAAATGTGAGGGAAAGTAATATGAGATAGATGAATATAAGGTACCTATTTGGCTTTCTCCCATTCTTCACTACCACTCGCTTGCGTAATCCTGCAACCCTCTAATACATAGATTCCATTTCATTTTTGGAAAACAGATGATTGCTATTTAACCAGAGAATCAACCATATTGTTTAGAAATGTATCCATACTCTCTTAGAGTTTATAAACTTAGTGGGAAAGATAATACTACATGCCAAAAAAGTCAAGGAAAAGATGAGCTATCTATATGAGGAATTTAGTCAACTGTTGTCTGATATCTGTCTGAGATTAAATGACAACATATAAATGAAATGTTTTGTATGATGCCTGGTACCAAAATAAAAGCTCTCTGAAATAACGTTAGCTATCATTATCATTATTAGGAATAATATTGAGAGATTACTTTTTAATCCTATGTGTTGGTCAAAATATGTGAATGATTGACCCAAGTTTGCATCCACTGATCAGTTAATTGGTTTAAAGGAAAGGATCCTAATTTTAATTCCATGGTCAATTTCATTTATACATTGATTCAACAAATTTTTTCTCTTTATGTAGAAAAATATAATCATGAGTCGGGCTTTAGCACATCCTCCTAAATCCTAATGCGCAGTTTATGAAAATGTGTATGCGTACTTTGTGGAAATAAAAGATCCATAGCTTTTCAACTTCCCAATGTGTATGCTGAAAAAAAAAAAATTGAGATTTTGTTTCAGAGTCTCTACATTTTCCTCACAGCCTGTGTCTTTTCTGATTAGGAGGGTTGATATAAAAAACCTGAAGACCGTTCTAGACAACATGGGAATCAAGCTCACAGATAAAGAACTTGAAGATCTGACACAAAGCCTGCCAGTCATGGTGAGCATGCTAGATATCACTGGTTTCTGAGTTTTGTGTTCTGTGTGCTTTTAGCATTAGAAGGAAAGGGAAAAAAAGAACTTTTTCATAATGCAAAATGGCAAGATTAAATAAGACAGTCAGAGTAACAGCGAGAATGGTATTCTTGAATACTGAAGGCATGGTCAATACAAGAGCCTTCCAAATTCTGGAGGACAAAAGAAAGCTGACCCTAGGAAAAGCCACTTTTGAATTCCATCTTTCCATTATCAAATATAAGATTTGCTGTTGTACAGAAGTCAAATTTACATTTTCTAAATGTTTATTTTCAATATTTATAATTGTTTCTTCATCTTCAGAATATATTCTGAGTAAAGATGACAAATGACTAAAGTATAACAAAATGCCCAGTATACTTCCTAAGTGCTGCTACTAGGTGTTATAATCATAGGAGGGAGAAGAGTGTTCTTGTGATATAACATGTTATGAGCTTCAAATTATGCCTTTGTGTTATAGCTGATAATAAAGTGGCTCTGAAAGCATTGGAGGATGAAGTGAAAGCTTTTACTGGTAAGAATTTGTTACAATATTATTTTATAGTAACAAATGATGGATTACACTAAAATTTTTAATAGTATTTTTCATTATTCTATTATGGCTTATAAATTCACATATTTTCCATATTTTGATAAAATATCTGCCTTTACTAACAGATTAACATTATCTGTGTTTTATCAGTCAAAACGAAAGAACTATTTATTGATAACATCTTACATTCATTAGTACTGTTTTCCAACAAAAATGGTTTCACCAGTATCTATAGACCCAAATAACTAGATGAACACAGTGAAAACAGGGTGAAACATTAAAAGGATCAAAGTAATGAGTTCATTGCAAGCATCTAACCACCTAGTTTTACAAAAATGAAATATGTCATAATTTGTTTTTGACTTTGCTTTAATTATACTCCTTAAGTTCTAGGTACATGTGTACAACGTGCAGGTTTGTTACATATGTATACATGTGCCATGTCATTTGTTGCACGGTATTAACTCGTCATTTACATTATTTCTCCCAATGGTACTCCATCCCCGACTTCCCACATCACGACTGGCCTCCGGGTGATGTTCCCTTGCTGTGTCCAACTGTTCTCTTTGTTCAGTTCCCCCGTATGAGAACATGCAGTGTTTGGTTTTTCGGGAACCTGCGGTGAGTTTAGCCAGAATGATGGATTCCAGCTTCATCCATGTTGTTACAAAGGACACGAACTCATCCTTTTTTTATGGCTGCATAGTATTCCATGGTGTACATGTGCCACATTTTCTTAATCCAGTCTATCACTGATGGACATTGGGGTTGGTTCTAAGTCTTTTGCTATTGTGAAGAGTGCTGCACAAAAACATACATGTGTGTGGGTGGGTTCTCATAGTAGCATGATATATAATCCTTTGGGTATACACCCAGTAATGGGATTGCTAGGTCAAGTGATATTTCTAGTTCTAGATCTTTGAGGAATCGCTACAGTGTCTTCCACAATGGTGGAACTAGTTTACACTGCTGCCAACAGTGTAAAAGCCTTCCTATTTCTCCACATCCTCTCCAGCACCTGTTGTTTCCTGACTTTTAATGATCACCATTCTAACTGATGTGACATGGTATCTCATTGTCGTTTTGATTTGCATTTCTCTGATGGTGAGTGATGATGAGCATTTTTTCATGTTTCTGTTGGCTGGGTAACAATGTCTTCTTTTTGCAAAGTGTCTGTCCATATCCTTTGCTCAATTTTTGATGGGGTTGTTTTTTCTTGTGTATTTGTTTGAGTTCTTGTAGGTTCTGGATATTAGCCCTTTGTCAGATGGGTAGATTGCAAAAATGTTCTCCCATTCTGCAGGTTGCCTGTTCACCTGATGGTGGTTTCTTTTGCTGTCAGAAGTTCTTTTGGTTTAATGAGATGCACTTGTCAATTTTGGCTTTTGTGCCTTTGCTTTTGGTGTTTTAGACATGAAGTCCTTGCCCATACTCATGTCCTGGAATGGCTGGCTAGGTTTTCTTCTAGGGTTTTGCGCTTTAGGTCTAATATTTAAGTCTCTCACCATCTTAAATTAATTTTTGTATAAAGGAAGGATCATTTCAGCTTTCTACATATACAGTCAATTTTCCCAGCATCTATTTAAATAGGAATCCTTTTCCCATTTCCTTGTTTTTATTGTGGTTTTTCAAAGATCAGATGGTTGTAGATGTGTTGTATTATTTCTGAGGTCTCTGTTCTGTTCCATTGGTCTATATCTCTTTTTTGGTGCCTGTACCATGCTGTTTTGATTACTGTAGACTTGTAGTGTAGTGTGAAGTCAGGTAGCATCATGCTCAGCTTTGTTCTTTTTGCTTAGGATTGTTTTCACAATGAGAGCTTTTTTGGTTCCATATGAACTTTAAAGTAGTTTTTCCAATTCTGTGAAGAAAGTCATTGGTAGCTTAATGGGACGGTATTGAATCTATAAATTACCTTGGGCAGTATGACCATTTTCATGATATTCATTCTTCCTATCCATGAACGGGAAAGTTCTTTCCATTTGTTTGTGTCCTCTTTTATTTCGAGGAGCAGTGGTTTGTAGTTCTGTTTGAAGAGGTCCACATCCCTTTGTCAGTTGATTCCTAGGTATATTATTTTTTTGAAGTAATTGTGAAATGGGAGTTCACTAAGGATTTGGTTTCTGTTTGTCTCTTATTGGTGTATAAGAATGCTTGTGATTTTTGCACCTTGATTTTGTATCCTGAGACTTCACTGAAGTTGCTTGTCAGCTTAAGGAGATTTTGGGCTGAGATGATGGGGTTTTTTAAATATATAATCATGTCATCTGCAAGCAGGGACAATTTGACATCCTCTTTTCTCTTAATTCAATACTCTTTATTTCTTTCGTCTGATTACTTCCACAGAACGTCCAACAATATGTTGAATAGGAGACACTATGTTGAATAGGAGTGGTGAGAGAAGGCATCCCTGTCTTGTGCCAGTTTTCAAAGGGAATGCTTCCCATTTTGCCCATTCAGTAAGGATATTGGCTGTGGGTTTGTCATAACAGCTCTTATTATTTTGAGATGATTCCACACACATCAAATTTATTGAGAATTTTTAGCATGAAGCACTGTTGAATTTTGTCAAAGGCCTTTTCTGCATCGATTGAGATAATCATGTGGTTTTTGTCTTTGGTTTTGTTTATATGCTGGATTACATTTATTGATTTGTATATATTGAACTAAATTTTGCATCCCAGAGATGAAGCCAACTTGATCATGGTAGATAAGCTTTTTGATGTGCTGCTGGATTCAGTTTGCCAGTATTTTATTGAGGATTTTTGCATCGTATGTTTATCAGGCATATTGGTCTAAAATTCTCTTTTTCTTGTGTCTCTACCAGGCTTTGGTACTGATGATGTTGGCTCATAAAATGAGTTAGAAGGATTCTTTCTATTGATTGGAATGCTTTCAGAAGGAGTGATACCAGCTCCTCTTTGTACCTCTGAATTGGCTGTGAATCCGTCTGGTCTCGATTTGTTTTGGTTGGAGAATATTAATGATTGCCCAATTTCAGGAGCCCTGTTATTGGTCTTACTCAGGATTCAACTTTCCTGGTTTAGTCTTAGGAGGAGTGGTATGTGTCCAGGAATTTACCCATTTCTTCTAGGTTTTCTAGTTTATTTGTGTAGCAGTGTTTATAGTATTCTCTGATGGTAGTTTGTATTTCTGTGGGGTTGGTGGTGATATCCCCTTTGTCATTTTTGTTGCATCTATTTGGTTCTTTCTTTTTCTTCTTTATTAGTCTTGCTAGTGGCCTCATCTGTTTTGTTGATCTTTTTCAAAACCAGCTCCTGGATTCATTGGATCGCTTGAAGGGTTTTTTGTGTCTCTATCTCCTTCAGTTCTGCTCTGATCTTTGTTATTTCTTGCCTTCTGCTAGCTTTTGAATGTGTTTGCTCTTGCTTCTCTAGTTCTTTTCATTGTGATGGTAGGGTGTCAATTTTAATTTTCTGCATTCTCTTGTGAACATTTAGTGCTATAAATTTTCCCCTACATACTGCTTTAAATGTGTCCCAGAGATTCTGGTATGTTGTATCTTTGTTGTCATTGGTTTCAAGGAACATCTTTATTTCTGCCTTCATTTCATTATATACCCAGTAGTCATTCAGGAGCAGGTTGTTGAGTTTCCATGTAGTTGAGCGGTTTTGAGTGAGTTTCTTAATCCTGAGTTCTAATTTGATTGCCCTGTGGTCTGAGAGACAGTTTGTTATAAGTTCTGTTCTTTTTCATTTGCTGAGGAGTGCTTTACTTCCTCATGTGTTCAATTTTGGAATGAGTGTGATGTGGTGCTGAGAAGAATGTATATTCTGTTGATTTGGGGTGGAGAGTTCTGCAGATGTCTATCAGGTCTTGTTGGTGCAGAACTAGAGTTCAATTCCTGATATCCTTGTTAACTTTCTGTCTCATTGATCTGTCTAATATTGACAGTGGGCTGTTAAAGTCTCCCATTTTTATTGTGTGGGAGTCTAAGTCTCTTTGTAAGTCTCTAAGGACTTGCTTTATGAATCTGAGTGTTCTATATTGGGTGCAGGTTATATATTTAGCATAAAGTGTCTCCATTTGTTGATTTGATCCTTGCCATTATATAATGGCCTTCTTTGTCTCTTTTTGATCTTTGCTGGTTTAAATTGTTTTATCAGACTAGGATTGCAACCCCTGCCTTTTTGTGTTTTCCATATGCTTGGTAGATCTTCTCCTCTATCCCTTTATTTTGAGCCTAAGTGTGTCTCTCTGCATGAGATGGGTTCTCCTGAATACAGCAAACTGATGGATCTTGACTCTTATCCAATTTGCTGTGTGTGTTTCTTTAATTGAGCATTAGGTCATTTACATTTAAGGTTAATATTGTTATGTGTGGTTGATCCTGCTTCACATGATGTTACTGGTTATTTTTTTTTAATTTATTTATTATTATTAAACTTCAAGTTGTAGGGTACATGTGCACAACACCCAGGCAGGTTTAAGTTACATATGATATTTGTGCCATGTTGGTGTGCTGCACCCATCAACTCGTCATTTACATCAGGTATAACTCCCAATGCAATCCTCCCTCCTCCCCATGATAGGCCCCGGTGTGTGATGTTCCCTTCCCGAGTCCAAGTGATCTCATTGTTCAGTTCCACTCACGAGTGAGAACATGCGGTGTTTGGTTTTCTGTTCTTGTGATAGTTTACTAAGAATGATGGTTTCCTAGCTGGTTATTTTGCTCGTTAGTTGATGCAGTTTCTTCCTAGCATCAATGGTCTCTGCATTTTGGCATGTTTTTGCAGTGGCTGGTACTGGTTGTTCCTTTTCATGTTTAGTGCTTCCTTCAGGAGCTCTTGTAGGGCAGGCCTGGTGATGACAACATCTCTCAGCATTTGCTTGTCTGGAAAGGATTTAATTTCTACTTCACTTATGAAACTTAGTTTGGCTGGATATGAAATTCTGGGTTGAAATTCTTTTCTTTAAGAATGTTGAATATTGGCCCCCACTCTCTTCTGGCTTGTAGAGTTTCTGCCGAGAGATCCGCTGTTAGTCTGATGGGCTTCCCTTTGTGAGTAACCCAACCTTTCTCTCTGGCTGCCCTTCACATTTTTTCCTTCATTTCAACTTTGGTGAATCTGACAATTATGTGTCTTGGAGTTGCTCTTCTCGAAGAGTATCTTTGTGGTGTTCTCTGTATTTCCTGAATTTGAATGTTGGCCTATCTTGCTAGGTTGGGGAAGTTTCCCTGGATAATATCCTGCAGTGTTTTCCGACTTGGTTCTATTCTCCCCGTCCCTTTCAGGTACACCAATCAGACGTAGATTTGGCCTTTTCACATAATCCTATATTTCTTGGAGGCTTTGTTCGTTTCTTTTTCCTCTAAACTTCTTGCTTTATTTCATTCATTTGATCTTCAATCACTGATACCCTTTCTTCTAGTTTATCAAATCGGTTACTGAAGCTTGTGCATTTGTCATGTAGCTCTCATGCCATGGTTTTCAGCTCTATCAGGTCATTTAAGGACTTCTCTACATTGGTTATTTTAGTTACCCATTCATCAAATATTTTTTCAAGGTTTTCAGCTTCTTTGCAATGGGTTCGACTTCCTTCTTTAACCTGGAGAAGTTTGATCATCTGAAGCCTTCTTCTCTCAACTCATCAAAGTCATTCTCCATTCAGCTTTGTTGCATTGCTGGTGAGGAGCTGCGTTCCTTTGGAGGGGGAGAGGCTCTCTGATTATTAGAATTTTCAGCTTTTCTGCTCTGTTTTTTCCCCATCTTTGTGATTTTATTTACCTTTGGCCTTTGATGATGGTGACATACAGATGGGGTTTTGGTGTGGATATCCTGTTTGTTAGTTTTCCTTCTAACAGTCAGGACCCTCAGCTGCAGGTCTGTTGGAGTTTGCTGTAGGTCCACTCCAGACCGTGTTTGCCTGGGTATCAGCAGCAGAGGCTGCAGAAGAGTGAATTTGCTGAACAGCAAATGTTGCCGCCTGATTGTTCCCCTGGAAGCTTCGTCTCAGAGGGGTACCCGGCTATGTGAGGTGTGAGGTGACAGTCTGCCCCTGGTGGGGGGGGTGTCTCCCAGTTAGGCTACTCAGGGGTCAGGGACCCACTTGGGCAGGCAGTCTGTCCGTTCTCAGATCTCAGACTCCATGCTTGGGAACCACTACTCTCTTCAAACCTGTCGGACAGGGACATTTAAATCTGCAGAGGTTTCTGCTGCCTTTTGTTTGGCTATATCCTGTCCCCAGAGGTGGAGTCTACAGAGGCAGACAGGCCTCCTTGAGCTGCGGTGGGCTCCACCCAGTTCGAGCTTCCCAGCCACTTTGTTTACCTACTCAAGCCTCAGTAATGGTGGGTGCCCCTCCCCCAGCCTTGCTGCCGCCTTGCAGTTATATCTCAGATTGCTGTGCTAGCAATGAGGGAGGCCCCGTGGGCATGGGACACTCTGAGCCAGGCACGGGATATAATCTCCTGGTGTGCCGTTTGCTAAGACCCTTGGAAAAGCGAAGTATTAGGGTGGGAGTGACCCAATTTTCCAGGTGCTGTGTGTCACGATTTCCCTTGGCTAGGAAAGGGAATTTCCTTACCCCTTGAGCTTCCCGGGTGAGGCAATGCGTTGCCCTGCTTTAGTTCTCGCTCAGTGGGCTGCACCCACTGTCCTGCACCCACTGTCTGACATGCCCTGGTGAGATGAACCCAGTACCTCAGTTGGAAATGCAGAAATCACCCATCTTCTGTGTCACTCATGCTGGGAGCTGGAGGCTGGAGCTGTTCCTATTCAGCCATCTTGGAACTACCCCTCTGTTTCAAAGATTAAAAGGATGCTGGCCAGGCATGGTGGCTCATGCCTGTAATCCCAGCACTTTAGGAGACTGAGGCAGGTGGATCACTTGAGGTCAAGAGTTCAAGACCAGCCTGGCCAACATGGAGAAACCCTGTTTCTACTGAAAATACAAAAATTAGCCGGGTATGGTGGTATGTGCCTGTAATCCCAGCTACTAGGGAGGCTGAGGCAGGAGAATCTCTTGAACCAGGGAGGCAGAGGTTGCAGTGAGCCAAGATTATGCCACTGCACTCCAGCCTGGGCAACAGAGGGCAACAGAGCAAGACTCTGTCTCAAAAAAAAAAAAGATACTGTAGTAGGTAGTGATGTAATTTTGCCAGAAAATCATACCAGAACACACTTTTAGAAGTTAGCATTTATTCATTGCTTATCCTAAAAATTATGGAATAGTTATAACTTGAATTTCCTTAAATATAAGATCATATAAACTTATTTGATCATTTGCATTTTTATTCTCCAATCAAACCTTTTAGATCATTTTTATTTATTATTTACTATTAAATCATGGTCCTCATTTTAACTGGATTTATTTTCATTGGTTATCTATTCAGCAATAAATCTTCAATGAAAAGGACCTCCTGTACAATATGTCTTTTTTTTCAGAGTTCACGTTATTGCTTCTCTCTGATTAAACTTTGTATTACAGCCTACGAGAAAGTTGATCTGGAAAAACTGATGAATAAAGTAGAAGCTGTTGCAAGTGAGAAAGAAGTGACCAAATATATATTATTCTGATTTTTTTTCAGTCAACTGATTTTACTTTTCTTAAATTAAAGATTTTAAAAGAATGATATTTTGTTTTAAAAGGCTGCTCAAAGCAAATGAAAACACACTTCATTTAAGGACAAAAAAGAATTATATATTTATGTCTAAGAATATCAGACAGTTTCTTTAACTTGTTTTGTTAGGCCTTTTGATTAAACTAGAGGTCCAAGCTCATTCTTATTCAGCTTTATGATTATCTTCGGACATGAATGCTGAGAAAATTAGCAATGGAAACCTTAACACTTGAGAGTATACTTTTCACACGTTTAACCAACTGTTTGCTGATCACATAAATAATAAATGTTATTTATAAAGTAAATATAAATACTAAATGTATATGATTCCAATTCTTTACACATATTTTATATGTGTTCCAGTTAATTTTAATGTCTTTTAAAATTAGATTGTTTTTTAAAATAATTTAAACTTTTATTTTAGATTCAAGGGGTATATGTGCAGGTTTGTTACATGGGCACATTCTGTGATGCTGAGGTTTGGGGCACAAATGATCCCATCACCTGTTGTGAGCATAGTACCCAATAGGTAGATTTTCAACCCACATCCCCCTCCCCACTACCCTCTCTAGTAGTCCCTAGTTCTATTTTTGCCATTTTTATGTCCATATGTACCCAGTGTTTACCTCACTTATAAGTGAGAACACACAGTATTTAGTTTTCTGTTCCTGTATTAATTTGCTTAGGATAATGGCCTCTGGCTCTATTGTTGCTTTAAAGGGAACAATCTCATTCTTTTTATGGCTGCATAGTATTCTGTGGTGTGTATGTAACACATTTTCTTTATCAGTCCACTATTGATGGGCACCTAGGTTGATTCCATGTATTTTCTGTGGTGGACATATGAGTGTCTGTATCTTCTTAGTAGAACAATTTATTTTCTTCAGGATGTATACCCAGTAATGGGATTGCTGGGTTGAATAGTAATTCTGTTTTAAGTTTTTTGAGAAATCTCCAAACTGCTTTCCACAGTGGCCAAACTAATTTACATTCTGATCAACAGGGTATAAGTATTCCCCTTTCTCTGCAACCTTGCCAGTATCTGTTGTTTTTGACTTTTTAATAAAGGCCATTCTGACTGGTGTGAGATGATATCTCACTGTGGCTTTGATTTGCATTTATCTGATGACTAGTGATGTTAAGCATTTTTTTCCTATGCCTGTTGGCTGTATGTATGTCTTCCTTGAAAAGTGTCTGTTCATGTCTTTTGCCCACTTTTGAACAGAATTATTTGTTTTTGCCTGTTGATTTAAGTTACTTATAGATTCTGGATATTAGACCTTTGCCATATGCATAGTTTGTGAATATTTTCTCCCATTCTGTAGGTTGTCTCTTTACTCTGTTGATGGTTTTTCTCACAGTGCAGAAGCTCTTTAGCTTAATAAGGTCCCATTTGTCCATTTTCGTTTTTGTCACAATTGCTTTTTGTATCATAAATTATATTCCAAGACCAATGTCTGGAATGGCATTTCCTAGGTCTTCTTCCAGAATGCTTACAGGGTTTTTTTGTTGCTGCTTGGGATTTTTTCTTCAAACAGTCTCACTCTGTTGCCCAGGCTGGAGTGCAGCTGGAGTGCAGTGGCACTGTCACAGCCCACCACAGCCTCAACCTCCTAGGCTCAAGCAGTCCTCCCCCTTTAGCCTCCCGAGGAGCTGGGACTACAAACACACACCACCACAGGGTTTCACTATGTTGCCCAGGATGGTCTTGAACTCCTGAGCTCAAAGGATCCTCCTGCCTTGGCCTCCCAAAGTAGCATTCTTATAGTCTGATGTCTTGCATTTAAATCTGTCATTCATTTCTAATTACTTTTTATATATGGTGAAAGGCAAATGTGCAGTTTCATTCTCTTGCATGTGGCTAGCCTGTTCTGAGAACTACCATTCTGATAAATGGCTAGCCAATTATCCAAGCACCATTTATTGACTAGGGCCTTCTTTCCCCATTGCTGCTTTTTGTCAGCTTTGTTGAAGATCAGATGGCTGTTGATCTGTGGCTTTATTTCTGGGTTCTCTATTCTGTTCCATTGGTCTATGTGCCTGTTCTCGTATGTGTACCATGCTGTTTGGTTACTGTAGTCTTATAGCATAGTTTGAAGTCAGGTAATGTGACACCTCCAGTTTTGCTTTTTTTAATTAATTACGCTATTTTTGAATGAAATGATTGTGTCCAGTTTCCTAGACCTTAACTTTGGCTTATCAATGTTTTAGCAACAAAACATGATGCCACATTTTATTAATAAGCCTGTAATCTCACTTTTTCCAGATTAATCGAAGATATTTATTTAGCATTAATAGAACATATAATTATTATTTAGAATAATTAGGTAGTTCTTTAAAATCTCATGTGTTACCATTTCTATCTGTTTGAAGGAGAGGAAGTTGATGTCAATGACATGAAAATAATTCTAGGAAACATGGGGATAGAGCTTACGGATAAAGAACTCGCAGAACTGGTAAATAATCTGCCAGTTGATGGTGAGTATTTCAAATAAAAATGTAATCTTCCAGGGAGGCTTACTGTTAAACTTTGAAAACTTCTAAAACTATCTAACTTTAAAAATAATCTTGACCCATGTTGTGTAATCTTAAAATGACCCCATTGTATTTTAAAAGATTATTTGTGCCATTCAACTTTTATTTTGAGAATCAACAATTGTGTCATGTTTTCTGTCATCAGGGTTCAGTTATATCTTTTATTACTTTTGATTCTACTGAAAGATCTAAAATTTAAGCCAGGATAAATGAGAAAAAGAAAGAAAAGGGAGTGATCTAATAGGGGAAAATGGAAAATCACAAAATAAGAAGAAGAAAGGATATGTTTCAACATGGTAGAGTGTCAGTATTAACTGCCTATATTAATAAAGTTACAACTTTCTCCACACTCTATATAATTTCATTGGTTTTCAGTAAGTCAGAAAATTTATAAGGCAGTTCATAAAGTATGTCTTTCTGAAATTATTGGTTTTATATTTTCTGTAAAGCCCCACATTGCTCTTGTAAGATCTGAACAGTGCTTCTTCTTACAGATGGAAAGGTCTATCAGAAAAGATTACTGGACGGTATAAAGTTTCTTAGAGGTGAGGGAGATACTTAATAAAATGCTGATTAATCTGAGATTATAATGTATGGCATTTACATAATTTCCTTGTTATTAAATTGTGAATCCTGCCACATAACATGTATATTATTACATACTTTTGTTTCTTTTATACATTAGCCCCTACTTTAAGAGATCACTTCTTATAGTGTAACTCGGAAAGAATTCCCATGCTGTCTTGGGATTTTCCAAATTTTGACAGAAGAAATTATTACAGTCAAGGTTGCACAGCAAAAAGTAAAGGGAAATTACTTTTTTAACTTAAATAAAATGTTAATTGGATTGCTTATAAGACAAAGAATAAATGTTTGAGGGGATGGATATCCCATTTTACATAATGTGATTATTATACATTGCATGCCTACATCAAAACATCTCATGTACTCTATAAATATACATACCTACTAAGTACTCACAAAAATTAAAATTAAAAAAAATTTATGGGGCGGGGCCAAGATGGCCAATTAGAAGCAGCAGTGTTCAGAGGCTCCCAGCAAAAAAATAAATAAATAAATAATAAACATGTAAATCCTTCACCAGCAGCCAAGGTATCCAGATTCTTATCAAAATGACTAGAAGGCTAGTTTTACCAGTGGAGAGAAGGAAGAACAGTGTTGTACAGTGGCCCACCTGCAAGACACATGGGGAAGGAGAACCTCCTGCCCCCAGCCAAGGGAGGCAGTGAATGAGCTTGCTACCCAGCTTTTTCCATGGAACTCTGCTTTTTCCATGGAACTGTGCAACCCACAGATCGGAAAATCCCACTCGTGAATCCATGCCACCGGGGCCTAGTGTCCCAACCCTGGGATGCACAGTTTCTTACAGCCTCTCAACTGGAATCTGCTTAAGCCTACTGAAATCCCAGTGGGGAGGGATGACCAGCATCAGCTGAGGCTGCCTATTGTCTAAGCCATTTGAATTCCTTGTGGGAGGGGCAGCAGCTAGCACTAGGACTTGCAACTGCCTAGCATGCTAAGCTCACTGGGCGGGGGAAGGGTGACACCCATTTCTATAGCTCCAGGCTGTACTTTTCCCCTTCTGGCACCAGGAAGGCTGGACGGCTTGGTCCTAAGACTTGTCCCAACAGCCCAACACACTGGCTGTGGCAGCCTGTGGCCAGAATGCCTTTTCAGGCCAAACCCTGACCCATCCTTCCTCATTGAGCAGGGCTTCCCTGCAGGATCTACAATAACTCCAGCAAGAGGCTGAGGGACAGAACTCGGATCTCCCTGGGCCTGAGCTCCTAACGGGAGGGGTAGTCGCAGTCTCTGCAGACTAGCAGACTTAGCCTCTTCTCCTGGCAGTTCCGAGGAATCCTGGCAGCACAAACGAGTGGATTTCCCCCCAGTGAAGCACACCCTCTCCACCAAGGGACAAAGTTCTTCATTAAACGAGTCCTGTGGCCTGTGCCACCCAACTGGGTGAGACCCTCCAACAGGAGTTGTCAGACACTCTATACAGGAGCAATCCTGCTGGCATCAGGTTGGTGCCCCTTAAGATCAGAGGTCCCAGAAGAAGGAGCAGACACTCATCTTTTCTGTTTTCCAGCCTCTTTGAGTGACATCTCCAGTCACAGGAGTGAATCAGATTAATAAAGCCTGAAGTGAATCCCCGGCAAACTCCAGCAACCCTACAGAAGAGGTACCTGACTACTGAAAGAAAATCAAGCAGAAAGCAACAACAGCAGCATCAACAACAACAACAAAAAAGACCTTCACAGAAACCTCATCCAAGGATCGGCAATCTCAAAGACCGAACAAGAAAAACTAACAAAGATGAGAAGGAATCAACAAAAAAAATGCTGAAAACCCAAAAGACCAGAGTGCCTCTTCTCCTCCAAATGATTGCAATGTCTCTCCATCAAGCGTGCAGAACTGGATGGAGGATCAGATGGCTGAACTGACAGACATAAGCTTCAGAAGATGGGTAATAAAACTACGATGAGCTACAGGAGCATGTTCTAACCCAATGCAAAGAAGCTGAGAACCTTGATAAAAGGTTAGAGGAACTGCTAACCAGAATAATCAGTTCAGAGAGGAACATAAACGACCTGATGGAGCTGAAAAACACAGCACAAGAACTTCGTGAAGCATACACAAGTAACCACAGTTGAATCAACCAAGTGGAAGAAAGGATATCAGAGTTTGAAGACCACCTCACTGAAATGCAGAAAAGAATAGAGAAAAAAGAATGAAAAGGAATGAACTAAGCCTCCAAGAAATAGGGGACTTCATAAAAAGACCAAACCTACAATTGATTGGAATACCAGAAGGAGACAGGGACAATGGAAACAAGCTGGAAAACACACTTCAGGATATTATCCGGGAGAACTTCCCCAACCTAGCAAGACAAGCCAACATTCAAATTCAGGAAATAACAAAGAATACCCCTAACATATTCCTCGAGAAGAGCAACCACAAGACTCATAATCGTCAGATTCTCCAAGGTTAAAATGAAGGAAAAAATGTTAAGGGCAGCCAGACAAAAAGGTCAGTTACCTATAAAGGGAAGCCCATCAGACTCACAGTGGATCTCTGTGCAGAAACCCTGCAAGCCAGAAGAGAGTGGGGGCCAATATTCAAAATTCTTAAAGAATTTTCAACCCAGAATTTTATATACAGCCAAACTAAGCTTCATAAGTGAAGGAGAAATGAAATCCTTTAGAGACATGCAAATGCTGAAAGATTTTGTCATCACCAGGCCTGCCTTACAAGAGCTCCTGAAGGAAGCACTAAATATGGAAAAGAAAAACCAGTACCACCCACTGCAAAAACATACCAAAATATAAAGACTAATGACATTATGAAGAAACTGCATCAACTAATGTGCAAAATAACCAGCTAGCATCATGATGACAGGATCACATTCACACATAACAATATTAAGCTTAAATGTAAATGGGCTAAATGCCCCAGTGAAAAGACATAGACTGGCAAATTGGATAAAGAGTTAAGACCTGTCAGTGTGCTGTATTCAGGAGACCCATCTCACATGCAAAGACACACATAGGCTCAAAATAAAGGAATGGAGGAATATTTACTAAGCAAATGGAAAGCAAAGAAAAGCAGGGGTTGCAATCCTAGTCTCTGATAAAACAGACTTTTAAACCAACAAAGATCAAAAAAGACAAAGAAGGCCATTACATAAGGGTAAAGGGATCAATGCAACAAGAAGAGCTAACTATGCTAAATATATATGCACCCAATACAGGAGCCCCCAGATTCATTAAACAAGTTCTTAGAGACCTACAAAGAGACTTAGACTCCCACACAATAATAGTGGGAGAATTTAATACCCCACTGTCAGTATTAGACAGATCAATGAGGCAGAAGATTTACAAGGATATCCACGACTTGAACTCAGCTCTGGACCAAGCAGACCTAATAAACGTCTACAGAACTCTCCACCCCAAACCAACAGAATATACATTCTTCTCAGTGCCACATGGCAGTTATTCTAAAATTGATCACATAATTGGAAGTAAAACACTCCTCAGAAAATGCAAAAGAACTGAAATCATAACAGTCTCTCAGACAGTGCAATCAAATTAGAACTCAGTATTAAGAAACTCACTCAAAACCACACAATTTCCTGGAAATTGAACAACCTACTCCTGAATGATTCCTGGGTAAATAATTAAATTAAGGCAGAAATCAAGATGTTATTTGAAACCAATGAGAACGAAGAGACAATGTATCAGAATCTCTAGGACACAGCTAAAGCAGTTTATAGCACTAAATGTCCACATCAGAAAGCTAGAAATATCTCAAATTGACAACCTATCATCACAAATAAAAGAGCTGAAAAGACAAGAGCAAAGTAATCCAAAAGCTAGCAGAAGACAAGAAATAACGAAGATCAGAGAGGAATTAAAGGACATAGACATCAAAAACCCTCCAAAAATCAACGAATCCAGGAGCTAGTTTTCTGAAAAAATTAATAAAATAGATAGACTGCTAGCTAGCCTAATAAGAGAGGGAAGAATCAAATAGACACGATAAAAAAAATGATAGGGAGAATATCACCACTGACCCCTCAGAAATGCAAACTACCATCAGAGAATACTATAAACACCTCTATGCAAATAAACTAGAAAATATAGAAGAAATGGATAAACTCCTAGACACATACACCCTCCCAAGACTAAACCAGGAAGAAGTTGAATCCCTGAATAGACCAATAACAAGCTCTGAAATTGAGGAAGTAATTAATAGCCTCCCAACCAAAAAAAAAAAAAAAAAAAAAAAAAAATGACCAAAAGGATTCACAGCTGAATTCTACCAGAAATACAAAGAGGAGCTGGTACCATTCCCTCTGAAACTATTCCAAACAATTGAAAAGGAGAAACTCCTCCCTAACTCTTTTTTTGAAGCCAGCAACATCCAGATACCAAAACTGGGAAGAGATAGAACAAAAAAAGAAAACTGCAGGCCAATATCCCTGATGAACATCGATGCAAAAATCCTCAATAAAAAACTGGCAAACCGAACCCAGCAGCACATCAAAAACTTATCCACCATGATCAAGTCAGCTTCATCCCTGGGATGCAAGGCTGGTTCAATATACACAAATCAATCAACATAATCCATCATATAAACAGAACCAAAGACAAAAACCACACGATTATTTCAATAGATGCAGAAACGGCCTTTGGTAAAATTCAACATCCCTTCATGTAAAATAAACTATGTATTGATGAAACATATCTCAAAATAATAAGAGCTATTTATGACAAACACACAGCCAATATCATATTGAATGGGCAAAAGCCAGAAGCATTCCCTTTGAAAACAGCACAAGACAAGGATGCCCTCTCTCATCACTTCTATTCAATATAGTATTGGAAGTTCTGGCCAGGGCAGTCAAGCAAGAGGAAGAAATAACGAGTATTCAAATAGGAAGAGAGGATGTCAAGCTGTCTCTGTTTGTAGATGACATGATTTTATATTTAGAAAAACCCAGCAGCTCAATCCAAAACCTTCTTGAACTGATAAGCAACTTCAGCAAAGTTTTGGGATACAAAATCAATGTGCAAAAATCACAAGCATTCCTTTACACTAACAATATACAAGCAGAGAGCCAAATCCTGAATGGACTCCCATTCACAATTGCTACAAAGAGAATAAAATACCTAGGAATACAACTTACAAGGGACATGAAGGACCTCTTCAAGGAGAACTACAAACCACTGCTCAAGAAAATAAGAGAGGACACAAACAAATGGAAAAACATTCCATCCTCATGGATAGGAAGAATCAATATTGTGAAAATAGCTATACTGCCCAAAGTAATTTATAGATTCAATGCTATTCCCATTAAACTACCATTGGCATTCTTCCAGAATTCGAAAAAACTATTTTAAACTTCATTATGGAATCAAAGAAGACTCTATATAGCCAAGACAATCATAAGCAAAAAGCACAAAGCCGGAGGCATCATGCTACCTGACTTCAAACTACATTACAAGGCTACAGTAACCAAAACAGCATGGTATGGGTACCAAAACAGAGATATAGACCAATGGAGTAGAACAGAGACCTCAGAAATAACACCACACATCTACAACCATCTGATCTTCAACAAACCTAACAAAAGAAAGCAATCAGGAAAGGATTCCCTATTCAATAAATGGTGCTGGGGAAACTGGCTAACCATATGCAGAAAACTGAAACTGGACCTCTTCCTTATACCATATACAAAAATTAACTTAAGATAGATTAAAGATTTAAATGTAAAACCCAAAACCATAAAAACCCTAGAAGAAAACCTAGGCAATACCATTCAGGACATAGGCATGGGCAAAGACTTCATGACAAAAACACCAAAAGCAATTGAAACAAAAGCCAAAATTGACAAGTGGGATCTAATTAAACTAAAGAGCTTCTGCACAGCAAAATAAACTACCATCAGAGTGAACAGGCAACCTAGAGAATGGGAGAAAATTTTTGCAATCCACCCATCTGACAAAGGCCTAATATCCAGAATTTACAAGGAACTTAAACAAATTTACAAGAACAAAACAACCCCATCAAAAAGTAGACATAGCAAGTGAACAGACACTTCTCAAAAGAAGACATTTATGCAGCCAACAAACATGAAAAAAAAGCTCAACATCACTGATCATCAGAGAAATGCAAATCAAAACCGCAATGAGATACCATCTCATGCCAGTCAGAATGGCAATTATTAAAAAGTCAGGAAACAATAGATGCTGGCAAGGCTGTGGAGAAATAGGAATGCTTTTACACTGTTGGTGGGAATGTACATTAGTTCAACCATTGTGGAAGACAGTGTGGCGATTCCTCAAGGATCTAGAACCAGAAATACCATTTGACCCAGCAACCCTATTACTGAGTATATACCCAAAAGAATATAAGTTATTCTACTGTAAAGACACATGCACACATGTTTACTGCAGTATTATTTAAAATAGCAAAGACATGGAACCAACTCAAATGCCCATCAATCATAGACTGGATAAAGAAAATGGAGTACTTATACACCATGGAATACCATGCAACCATAAAAAGGAATGAGATCATGTCCTTTGCAGGGACATAAATGAAGCTGGAAGCCATCATCCTCAGCAAACTAACACAAGAACAGAAAACCAGACACCACATGTTCTCACTTATAAGTGGGAGATGAACATTGTGAACACATGGACACAGAGAGGGGAACAACACACACCAGGGCCTATTGGGGATGGGGGTCAGGGGAGAGAACTTAGAGGATGGGTCAATAGGTGCAGCAAAGCAACATGGTACACATATACCTATGTAACAAATCTGCACGTTCTGCATATGTATCCTGTTTTTGTTTATTTTTTTTATAATAAATTTTTAAAATATTTTTAGAAAAAAAAATGGGAATGGAAAATCCAGCATCCCTTAACATAACTAGAAGTTAATTGTAAAAATAAATACAATGAAAACCAGAAAAAATGAGTTAGAAACATTGGATTGTCACCTTGCTGAAATTCTGTGAGAAGTAATTTAGTCACCTTTAAAACTTTATACCGGGTATGCTTATCATGACTGTTAAAACAAGATCTAATTCTAAGTATGTTACTGACTCTTCGTACACCTGTAAATGTCTTATTAGTATTTGGTCTTTTGTATGAAAATATTAACCATAATCCTAAAAAATTGATAGTTTTCCCCACATTTTAGAGACATTAACTTTTGCTTGTATATCTCTCTTTTAATAAGGGGGGAAGATTGACTCTAGCAAAGTGGACATGGTTTTGGGAAACATGGGCATAAACCTCACTGAAAAAGAACTTGAAGATCTAACACAAAACCTACCAGTTGATGGTGAGAATTTTAGATATTACTGAACCCTACAGAAGAACTAGTCTTATAAACCTATTTATAACAATCATTAGAAATGTTATTTGGACCTGGATTCAATGGTGCTTACCTGTAGTCCCAGCTATACTGGAGGCTGAGGCAGGAGGATCACTTGAGGCCAGGAGTTCAAGGCTGCAGTGCACTACGCTTGTGCCTGTGAATAGCCACTGCACTTCAGCCTGGGCAACAGAGCAAGACTCTGTCTCTTTAAATAAAAAAAAAAAAAAAAAGTGTTTATTTGGTATCAAGAAGGCATTCTGAAAACCTTAGAGGAAAAACTCGAGTCCAAAGGAAGAACACATGCTATCTCTTGCTCGTTGCATGTGTATTTGGAGAAAGATTTCATGATCATGATTCATTCTCTCTCTCTCTCTCTCTCTCTCTCTCTCTCTCTTTCTCTCTGCTTTCCTTTTCTCTCTCTCTCTCTCTGTCTCTGTGTGTGTGTGTGTCTGTGTGTGTGTGTTTTTATATTCAACTTTTCTTTGTATTCCCTGTAAGGTAGGGAGAATTGATAGGTATTGCTCAAATTCCAATCCACACCTTTGGCCACATTTGCTAATAGGTGACATCAGTATTTATGTTTTTAAGGGCACTTAATATTTTATGTTTTCTTCCCTTTTACTATGGCTAGGTATACCTGCTGTACGTGACACCCATCTGAATCAGTGTTTGTCTGTCTCACTTTCATATGGGTCCTATGGGGAAAAGTTTATGGTGGACAATTTAAACCAGCTCCTCTCCTTTTCCATTTCCCCTGATGCTGGCATGTATACATTGTATTAACCTTTTCTCAAGTAACAGTGGTAAAATTTGAGACCCAGTTTTAGGTTGGATAGTAATGAAATAGACTATACCCACAGTCCACATCTGCCTGAATCTTTTAAAGCACTACTGGCTTATGAGAAGATATACCTCAAGAGATTTGGACTCTAAAAATTGTCAGTCATTTCCTGGGACTGTATTTATCTTGGGGATCTATGGTAAGTAGTAATTTATTATAGGCAGAATTTTAGAATTTCCGAAACCCCTGGCCAAAATAAAATCTCTACCTTATTATTAATACCTAATCCTGCCCTGGGTTTGTAATGTTATTTTATAACCTTAAGTAAGGAAGTTGTTGAACTATTACTAAAAATAAATGAAAGTGTTAACAGGGCCACCAATAGGCCAGAAAATACACAGAAAGAGGAAAATTAATCTGGCAAAATTGTGGATTTGGTGGACGGTACTAGAAGAATATAATGAAAGAAAGTTAACAGAGAAAGACAAATAGGTGGGAGAGAAGAAAAGAGAAATGCCAGTGGTGGATAATAATTGGAACACCCCCAACAATTATCTGAGAAAAGTAGTGATTGTTATCATTCAGCCATTCCAAATAAAAGTTTCAAATGAAATAGGGAACTTTGTAAAGATAATGAGTTAAATGTACACATGTACTTTTATTTTAGGTGTGGTTGTGCTATTTTAGTATTATATTTTCTTTTTTGAGTTGATGCATTTGTCATTATAAAATGTCCCTTTTTACTTCTTGTAATTTTTCTTGCCTTAAATACTACTTTGTCCATATTACCAGTGTTACTAGCTTTTTTTCTGTTTTCATAGTGTATCTTTTCCCTCCTTTGATTTTCAGTCTATCTGTGCCCACATTGTTAAAGGATGTATCTTGTATACAGCATATATTTAGACTCCATTTTTTGAGTCTGACAATCTCTCTTTTTTCTCTTTTGGTTAGTTTTTAGTACAGTTAATATAATTACTGATATACATCTACAGTGCATGATTGCTGAGTTTTGACATATGAGTATACCTGTGTAACCCAAACATCAAGATATAGAACATTATTGTCACTCCGGAAATTTCCTTCATGCTCCATCCCAGTTAGTTCTCACCCTACCCTAGAAGCAACCAATATGCCAATTTTTTTCTACCATAAATTAATTTTACCTACCCCAAAACATATAAATGGCTCATATAGTAACTACTCTTTTGTATAAAGCCTCTACTTTATATATATATTATGCTGCAACATAATTATTCCAAAAGTTGGTGTCATAAAGCAACTACTTGTTATGCTCACAGATTCTGTAGGTCAGGAATTCAGACAGGACATAGTGAGAATGGTTTATCTCTGATTCATGATGTCTGGGACCTCAGCTAGAAAACTCAGAAGTTAGGGTTCAGAATCATCTATGAGCTCATTCGCCCAAGTCTGGCAGTTGATGATAGTTATTGGATTGGGGCTGGAGAGGGTCTCTGCTTCTCTAAAAGTGTGTTCTCCATATGGTCTCACTGCATGAGCTATTTTGGGCCCCTGTATAGCACAGTTGTTGGGTACCAAATTGAAACATTCTGACAGAGAGAGAGAGAGAGAGAATGCCAGATGAAAACTATCCTTTGTGTGATATAGCCTCAAAAGTCACATCACATCATTTTCACCAAATGTTATTGTCAAAGCCATGGCAAAAGTCTAAGTCTAAAGCTTGACTCAGTCTAAGCTCTTGGTGGGAGATGTATCAGTTAATGTTTTCTTTTTCTGTTTTTCTTTTCTTTTTTTTTTTTTTTTTTTTTTTTAAGACAGTCTCACTCTGTCACCCAGGCTGGAGTGCAGTGGTGTGATCTTGGCTCCCTGCAGCCTCCTCCTCCCAGGTTCCAGCAATTCTCATGCCTCAGCATCCCAAGTAGCTGGGACTACAGGCACATGCCACCACGCCCAGCTAATCTTTTTGTATTTTTAGTAGAGACGGGTTTTTGCCATGCTGGCCAGGCTAGTCTCCAACTCCTGACCTCTAGTGATCCACAGGCCTCAGCCTCCCACAGTGCTGGGATTACAGGCATGAGCCACCACACCCAGCCGCATCAGTCACATTTTAAGAAGAGGATGTCGGATGGGATATATATCTCAGCCATTTTTTGAAAATATGGTCTGCCAAAACTTCTTTTACTAAGCATAACTGTTTTTAGATTCATCCATGTTGTTGCTTGTATCGGTAATTCATTTGTTTTCATTGCTGAGCAATCTATTGTACAAATCTATTATAACATGTTTATCTCTTCTTCTATTGTTGGATGCAGATTTTTACTAGTATTTTACTATAATGAATAAAGCTGCTATGAACATTCTTACACAAGTTATATGTGGACTTGTGTTTTCTTTCTCTTGGTGTAGGGAAAAGAAAGAGAGATCAGACTGTTAATGTGTCTATGTAGAAAGGAAAAATGTAAGAAGTTTCGTTTTGACCTGTACCCTGAACAATTGTTTTGCCCTGAGATGCTGTTAATCTGTAACTTTGCCCCAGCCACTTTGCCCCAGCCTCTTTGCCCCAACTTTGAGCTCACAAAAACGTGTGTTGTATGGAATCAAGGTTTAAGGGATCTAGGGCTGTGCAGGATGTGCCTTGTTAACAAAATGTTTACAAGCAGTATGCTAGGTAAAAGTCATCGCCGCTCTCTAGTCTCGATAAACCAGGGGCACAGCGCACTGCGGAAAGTCGCAGGAACCTCTGCCCTGGAAAGCTGGGTATTGTCCAAGGTTTCTCCCCATAGGATAGTCAAAAATATGGCCTCGTGGGATGAGAAAGACCTGACCGTCCCCCAGCCCGACTCCCGTGAAGGGTCTGTGCTGAGGTGGATTAGTAAAAGAGGAAATCCTCTTGCAGTTGAGACAGAGAAAGGACTCTGTCTCCTGCCTGCCCCTAGTGACTGAATGTCTCAGTATAAAACCCAATTGTACATTTGTTCAATTCTGAGATAGGAGAAAAACCACCCTATGACAGGAGGCAAGACATGTTGGCAGCAATGCTGCTTTGTTATTCTTTACTCCACTGAGATGTTTGGGCAGAGAGAAACATAAATCTGGCCTACGTGCACATCCAGGCATAGTACCTCCCCTTCAACTAAGGTATGACAGAGATTCTTTTGCTAACATGTTTTCTTGCTGACCTTCTCCCTATTATCACCCTGCTCTCCTACCGCATTCCTCTTGTTGAAGTAGTGAAAATAATAATCAATAAAAACTGAGGGAACTCAGAGACCAGTGCCAATGCAGGTCCTTGGTATGCTGAATGTGAGTCCCCTGGGCCCACTGTTCTTTCCCTATACTTTGTCTCTGTGTCTTATTTCTTTTCTCAGTCTTTCATCCCATCTGATGAGATATACCCACAGGTGTGGAGGGACAGGCCACCCCTTCACTTGGGTAAATACCTAGGTATGGAAATGCTGCGTCATAAAGTAGATGCATTTTTAGTTTTAAAAGAAATTGCTAGAGATTTTTCCAAAGTGGATGCACCATTTTATACTACCACCAACAATGTCTAAGAGTTCTATTCGCTTCACTCTTTACCAACATTTGGTGTTATCAATATTTTTTATTTTAGTCCTTTGAGTCAGTGTGTGGTGGTATTTCAATATTGTGTTAATTTACATTTCCCTGATGACTAATGATATTGGATACTTTTTCAACTGCTTGATAGCAAGTTATATACCTTCCTTTGTAATGTTTCTGTTCAAATTGTTTTGCCCACTTAGGGTTGTTTATTAATAGAGTTCTAGGAATTCTTTATATATCCTGGATACTAGCCGTTTCTCAGATATGTTTTCTCTCAGTCTATGTTTTGCCTGTTCATTTTCTTAATGGTGTTTTTTGGTGAGCAAAAGTTGTTAATTTTGATGAAACCTTACTTAGATTTTTCTCTTTCTTTATGATTATTGCTTTCCATATCTTATCTAGGAAATCCAAGTTACAAAGATATTCCCCTATGTTTTCACCTAAAAGCTTTAAGTTTTTAACTTTTACAATTAAGTCAGTTGATCTATCTTTAATATTTGTGTATTGTGTGATGTATGAGTTGAAGTTCACTCTTTTCTATATGGATGTCTAGTTATTCCAACATCGTTTGCTGAAAAGAGTTTCCTTTCCCCATCAAAATGTTTTGGTATCGCCATTGAAAATCACATGACTTTGTAAGTTCAATTTTTTTTTTTTATCCTCCAGCATTGTTCTTTCTTCTTTCTCTTCTTTTTTCCAGCCATAATACCCTGAATATGCCCAGTCTTGTCTTTTTCCCACAATTGCTTTAGATATTCTAGGTTCTTTTTTTCTATATAATTTTAGAATCAATTTGTCAATTTCTACACACACAAAAAAAGCATACTGGAATTGCCGTCAATGTATAGATTAATTTTGCAAGAACTGACATATTGATGATATTGAGTCTTCCAACTGATAAATAATGGACTATATTTATTTAGGTATTTAATTTCTCTTAGCAATGTTTTATAGTTTTCAGTGTAAAAGTCTTTTTACATCCTTGGTTAAATTTATTTCTAATATTTAATGTTTTCCAATGCTATTGGAAGTGGAGTTCTTGAAATTTTATTTTCAAATTATTTCTTGGTAGTGAGGAGAGCAAAGATCACCTGATAGCCATCAAGCAGACCTCCAGGGGCAAAAGTCCTTATCAGAGGAATTTAGAAGTAGTTAGACTTCCCTATTATCTAAAGCCACCATCTGGTAACAGGTTTTTTTTTTTCCAAAAATGTATAAGAAACTAGAATTTCTATACATCTCCGAAACGCGTGCATGTCAAAACTCATTGTGCAACCCTTGCTGGCATCAAGGCACCAAAATGTCTACAAATGTAATTATTTATCATGAAGTATGTGGCTAAGATGATCCAAATTACCCTTAAGCTCCCACTTTAAGGTCCATAAATACCCCTAAGGAAAATCCACCGTTACACACTCACTCCTCTCTTGCCAAAGTGCCCCACTGCACTCTTCTGCAGCGCTTGCCTTTTCAAACCTATACTGTGGTCCATAAATTAATCTTACTACCCACAAGCCAATCACTTTTCATTGCCAGGGCTCTGACACCTCACCCGGCAGGTAGTATATAAAAAAAATAGCTGATTTTGGTATATTAACTTTATATTCTGTGACTTTGCTAAATTATGAATTCTAATAGTTGTTTTGTAAACTCCTTAGGATTTTTTACATAAACTGTCATGTCATCTGTAAATAGAGAAAGTTTTACTTCTCCCTTCTAAATCTTTTCACTTTTTTTTTTTTATACTTTAAGTTCTGGGGTACATATGCAGAATGTGCAATTTTGTTACATAGGTATACATGTGACATGGTGATTTGCTGCACCCATCAACCCATCACCTACATTAGATATTTCCCCTAATGCTGTCCCTCTTCCAGCCCCCCATCCCCAGACAGTCCCTGATAATGTGATGTTCCCCTCCATGTGTCCACATGTTCTCATTGTTCAACTCCCACTTATGAGTGAGAGCATGCAGCGTTTGGTTTTCTGTTCTTGTGTTAGTTTGCTGAGAATGATGGTTTCCACCTTCATCCATGTCCCTGCAAAGGACATGAACTCATCCTTTTTTATGGCTGCATAGTATTCCATGGTGTATATGTGCCACATTAAGCCTTTTCACTTTTAAGCCCAGGAACAAGGCTAATGGCTTCCCTCTGTCCCAGTACCCCAACCAACCCCATCTGGATTTTCATCATCTGTTGGTTCCCCTTTATCCAGGTCATACCTTTGTAAATAAGTTCATTCTTTGATGCTCCATTTAAAGATATATTTTACCTGCCAGAGCCTGAATGATATGGCTCTCTTTCTTTTCCTATTCTTACATGTCTTTGATTCCTTTTTCTCTTAGTCAGCCCATCAGAACAAAATACATTTGATTAGTTTTTCAAATAACTAGCTTTTGTATTCATTTGTATTTTCACTGTCTTTCACTGTTTCTTATTTTATTAATTTTTATTTTTACCTGTATTAATAATACAGGTATTAATTCCAATCTCATAGGTTTTTGTTTCTTCCTCTATGGTTACCATCCCCCACCTTGGGTGGCATGCTTAGTTCCTTTTTGTCTTTCTGCTTTAATAATGAAGTTTAAACCATACATTTACTTCTGAATGCAGCTTCACTGAGTCTTCTTTAAATACAGTTTCCTATTACACATTTCACGAGAGACTATTTTTGAACTTATACAGTGGAAAGAAGCTTCTGTTTTGACATATTTGTACTTTCACCGCTTGAAACGTTCACCACCAGAATGAACGTTTCTGCCCACCTGTTTTACTGCTTCTTGGCTTTTTAGGAGTCACAGGAACCGGGAATACCTCACGCTGGCCTTTATTGACCTTCATTAGGGTCTTTAGAATTTTATATGCCAAGTGTTTCCCAAGTCTACTGCTTCTCAGTTCTATTCCCATGCTCTGACACTTTCCTGGTGCTTTCCTAGTCCATGGGGGAGAGAGTCCCATGCCCATTCTTTCTTCCAGGACACTATCAGAGCCTAAGGCTTGATATAGGCCTAGCAGCCTGTAGAGATCAGTAGCATTTGATTCCCAAAAGGCAAACAGCTTGGAGGTGGTAGTAAAAGAGACAATGATTCTTATTCAGGTCTCCATATTTGCAGATCCCTTCCAGAACTTTGGTTACAGTTGGTTATGGTAAATACAAAAGAAGAACATTACATGCAGTACATCTACACCATGAAATTCTATGCAGGCATTTAAAACAAAGTGATCACATCCTTTGCAGGGACATGGATAGAGCAGAAGGCCACTATCTTTGGCAAACTAACACAGGAACAGAAAACTAAATACTGCACCTTCTCATTTATAAGTAGGAGCTAAATGATGAGAGCACATGGGCATATAGAGGGGAACAACAGACACTGGGATCTACCTGAGGGTAGAAGTTGGAAGGAGGGAGAGGAGCAGAAAAAATAACTGTTGGGTACGAGGCTTAATACCTGGGTGACGAAATAATCTACAACAAACCCCCATGACATATGTTTACCTACATAACAAACCTGCACCTGTATCCCTGAACTTTAAAAAAAAGTTTAAAAAATTACACATAAATGAAGTTTTCCTTGTCACACAGAACACTTTTATTCCTGCTAATAGATTCCTTAAGATTTGAGATACATTTAGAACATTTTAATGAAATAAAACTCCCTGAGGGCCTAGTTCTCAGTGGAAATCCCCCAATTAAATAACCTATAGCAGAGAGCCCTTCTATTAATTTTTTTAAATTTTTCATTAAAAACCAGCTGGGCAATCAAAAGACAAAAGGATTTAGTTGACTCCCCACCATAGCAAACCATACACAAAGCCGAAAAAGCACTAATCCCCTTCAAAGATCTTATCTTTTTCCATGATAGGCTTGATTACCTATAATAGTTCAGTTGAACAAAAACACGTTTTCATGCTGTCCTGACCTGTAGCTGGTGTTGACACAGAAGTTATTTGTGTCCAGGAATACTTGAATAGATGTAGATTAAGGATCAAAAAATTCTTCTCACCATAGACTTAGCAAGACTATTAACAGACTATTAGCAATTGATATACTTTTCTGGCCACTCTACTGGTATTTTGTGGTAAAAGTTTATTGAATTCATGAAATAACTACATTTTTAATCTTCTGTGATTCCTGGGTTACAGCTAGATTTTTCTCATTGACATGGAGTATTACTTTGCTGCTAGAAGAAAAAATATTTTTTTTCAGAAACTAGGAATCACTTTTCTCCCCCAAAACATAATACTTCAATGCTGCTGAAATATTAATTGTATTTAGGAAATAATTGTGTTTATTATCATGTGAGCTTTCTTATGAAGGGTGTATCAAAAGTTACATGTTCTAAAGCAAATAAGTACTAAATTTTCCTCTGTGTAACATCATTTTCATAGTCTCATTGTCATGTTTCTGAACAATTTATTCCTTGTCTTACAGTTAATGGTAAGGTTGATCTGAAAAAGGTGATGAATGAAATGAAATATTTTACGGGTAAGACATTACTAAAACATTTTTACTTGAATTCTAACTCTGTTGAATTTTGCATGGTGCTTTCCCAATATTAAATGTATTCGTGCTAATATTTTACATATTTATATAGAACTGTTCTCCCTTTGGTTATTTAGGACTTGGACGTAAAAATGAATGGTATATTTGAGGAATAAATTTTATTTTCTGTGATTTCTAACAATAATATGCTGATCTGAACCAGTATTTTAATCAGAGGTCACAAATTGGCCACCCATGGTTGAATCCAGACTGCTATCAACTTTCATAAGGTCTGGAAACACTGAATCTGCATTTACTCACAAAATAGCTGATTTTTTTCTCTTTGGATAAAGCATGTGCTCTTTGTTTCACCTAAGCCAATTTCACTCCTTTCCTTTACCTCCAGACTCTTGTGAGCTTTTGAGTTAATAACTTCTGGTTTAAGTAGTCAAAATCTAGATAGACACAGAAAATAAGAAGATAAATATTTTTAAAGGATTAAGTGGATTGGGTTGCTTTAAATAATAATCACATAATTCAACATTAAAAACAAAAAAGACTAGATATCCCTAAATTATAGGCTGATTGTACAATCGGATTTTCTTCAGTGCTAGCATGTCTTTACATTAGGCTTAGGAGACCACTGTCTCTTTTCATGAAGAATCAAGGAAGTTCTGTCTCACTCATCCTTAAACACTATTAGAATATGTGAGAATATAGAATACTATGCAGCCATAAAAATGAATGAGATCATGTCCTTTGCAGGGAAATGGATGAAGCTGGGAGCCATCACCCTCAGCAAACTAACACAGGACCAGAAAACCAAACACCCCATGTTCTCACTCATAAGTGGGAGCTGAACAGTGAGAACACAGGAACACAGGGAGGGGAACATCACACACCGGGGCCAGTCAGGAGGTGGGGGGCAAGCAGAGGGATAGCATTAGGGCAAATAGCTAATGTGTGCAGGGCTTAATGGCTAGATGGTGGGTTGATAGGTACAGCAAACCACCATGGCACACATATACCTATGTAACAAACTTACATGTTCTGTACTTCTATCCCAAAACTTAAAGCAAAATTAAAAAACAAAAGGAATATGTGAGAATACATAAGTAAAGATGTCATTATATGGTCCAGCTTTTTCATGATTTTTGGTAATTATAATATCCTAAAATTGCCATGTGTGAACAACTTTTTTTTCTTTCAAAGGAGACAAAGTTGATACAAATAAACTTAAAAGTGTTTTAGGAAACTTGGGGATTGAGCTCATGCCTGATGAACACTTGAACTTGCTGAAAACATTGCCAGTTAATGGTAAGTCTTATGGATGCCATTGGGATTTTTAGGTAGTCTGGTTTTGTGGATATATAAAAACATTCCAAAATAAACTAAAAATGCTTTTAAAATGTGAAAAGCTAATGCTAATACAAATAAAACTTTCATCACTTAGATTTTAATTGAAAATCATCAAACCTTTCAGCTGTAAGTTGCTGTCAGAGTTCAAATTCATTATTCACATCTTCAGGTTATTGATTAGCTAGATTTGTAGAAACAGATTAAAAGAAAAATAAGAGAGACAAGAAAATAGAGAGAAAGGAGGGGAAAGAAACAGGAGTAAACAGACAATAGAAAGAAACTAAATAAAGTAGCTGCATGTGTTTCTGAAAAATAGAATATGTAGTTTACCAAGAAGTGGATAATTTTGTACATTGAGAAAAGGCTACATTTCTTAACTTGTTATTACGTGAAATAAAACCAAAAAATTCAGAAAAATAAAAAATGTTTTTAATTTCATAACCCAAAAATAATCAAAGTTAATATTTTAGAGCATTTTCCTTCAGCACTTTTTAGATGATGAATAGATGATAGATAGCTAGATAGATAAAATTTATGTATATATTAATAATTCTCATCTCTTCAGACTATTAATGTGATTCATCATAGAAAACGTTGGTAATACAGATAAGAAAATATCAAAATATTTCTATTCCTACCTCAAAATAATAACTACTATCAAAAATTTGAGATGTGTGGCCTGTAATCCCAGCACTTTGGGAGGCCGAGGCGGGCAGATCACAAGGTCAGGAGATCAAGACCATCCTGGCTTACACGGTGAAACCCTGTCTCTACTAAAAATACAAAAAATTATTTGGGTGTGGTGGCATGCGCCTGTAGTCCCAGCTACTCAGAAGGCTGAGGCAGGAGAATTGCTTGAACCCAGGAGGAGGAGGTTGCAGTGAGCCAAGATCGTGTCACTGCACTCCAGCCTGGGCGACAGAGTGAGATTCATCTCAAAAGTAAATAAATAAATATAAAAAAATTGAGATGTATATTTCCAGTTTCCTATCTATGAATATATGTCCTTATTTTATTTGGCAGCCTTGTGGAGAAAACTTTGCAAACATCCTAAAATTTGTCAAGATTAGATTTATTTAAGTAAAGTTGCAAAATGGAAGATATTTTATTTTGTCAAATTTTTTTCCGGAAAAGTTATCATAATCTGAATTCCCACAAACAGCAGTAGAGAATGTTATTTTCCCTACATTCCCAATACAGAAAAGTGAGCAGGCACATATAATTGTTATCATTTGCATTTTAATCATGTACTACCAAGAGTGAACATTTTGTTACTGTGTATTACCTATTTGCATTTGAAATGTTCCTTAGGCAAAGATTTTAAGTTCTTTCTGAAATTAAGAGATCTGTACTGTCTTCTAACTCTATTTCCAAAATGTTCCGTTTTTTATAGCTGATGGAAAAGTGTATCAGAAAAGGTTGATGAAAGGCATAAAGTCTCTTGAGCGTGAGTAAGCAGTGCAATAAAAAGGCTTAGTCTTAAACTCTTATTTGTACTTTTGAAACATAAATCTTCCTTTCCTATATAACTGAGTCATTATTTATGGCTCCTTCAGTAGATCTGCAAGTTAACGAGTGTTTATTTTACTATGATCTGGCAGGAAGTGTCAAACTTTCATGGATTTTTTCCTCAGCCCTAAAGGAAAAAAAGAAAAATTTAATACGCAGCAAAAGATGAAGAGTTAAAGCTGTCAGATAAGGATTTCAGTCAAAAGCAGGACATATAGTTTGCAAATACAGGCAACAAAAATAACTCCTGTTCTGTGGAATATTATGGTCATGATTAGCTCTAACTTTTCAGCCTTATTTAAGAATATTTTTGCTTTGTGGGCTTGTTCCCGCAATAAGATTTGGGGAATTCAGTTCTAATTTTTATCCTTCTATTAGCTATAACAGACAAGTTTTTGGTGTTTGTCTTAAAATCTCAACAATAATACTAGGAAATAAATAATATTTTTTCATTGTGATAAAACTCTTGCTCAATAAAGAAGAAAAATAATACAGCAGCATGAATGCATAGTCCAATTTTAGAATCATTCTGCTTTACCATATTCCTTTCCTATTCCTTACTTAGAAGGCAGTGTTGATGTCAATAAGCTGGACACTCTTTTAGAAAACATGGGGATAAAGATCACGGAAGAGGAATTCATGGATCTAACAGAAAGACTACCAGATGACTGTGAGCACTGTAATCACCCCTATACTTTTTAAGGGGTACTTATTCTTTTAAACTTGAAAATGAGAATTTCTCAAGCCAGATCATCAAAATATCAAAGACTCTTCAAAAGTTTAGCAAAGAACTCAGTCTCAAAGTCAGGGAAAAAATCATTTCTCTTAATCTCTTCATAATTTCAATTAATCTAAATTAATCTAAGAGAAATAATTATCTAAATTAATTCAATTAATCTAAGATAATCTAATGATTCTCTTAATCACTTCAATTAATCTAAAATCCAGTTTTTCCCCTATGGATACTAAGCATTGCATAAAATGAAGCCAAGATTTTGTTAAGCCAGAAAATGATCAGGAGGTAGCATTCAAAATGGAAGGGAAGGATTTATTAATAGAAGGAAAGGAGATCACCTCATATTTTCTTCTCTCATAAAGAGAATCTGGTTCCCACGTTCACCATTCTATTAAAAAATACTCTTACTTAGCTGACTGCAACATCCTAGCAGACAAATCCAGTGTGCACCACTCACCTTTTTCTAACTTGAGTTCTCTGATGCCTTTAATAATATTAAACTTTTTTCTTTCATTACAACTCTCTACATTCTCAGCTGCTATGAATTCATGCTCTCCATAATTTTCTTCTCTGCCTTTCCTGAGGCTCATTGTTTATGGCCTTCTATTCCTCCCCTCAAATTAGTGGGTTAAGTGAGCATTTTTTAATGAAATAGTATAGAAGAGAAAAGAAAATATCAGAGCATATGTCACACAGTTAGGCTAGATATTATTTCATGAAACTTTATGATGTGTGTGTGTGTGTCTGTGTGTCTGTGTGTGTGTGATATGGTGGGTGTTCAGAGTTCTTAGTGAAGCTTACAATAAAAATTTTTGAAAAATACTGGTTTAAATGATAGTGATATAACAGTTCTATCCTCAGTCTGTTGTTCTTTCCACAACCACATTTCTAGATGATTTCACTTACCTGTGTATGTTTAAGATTTCAAATCTTTGATCTCAAACCTAGACTTATCCCATGTGATTCAGTCTAGGATAGTAAAATCCTTTTATCTCTATTGACTGAGACAAGCATTTGGTCAGATCATCTTAAAATCTTGTTAAAATAAAGGATCATAAAATGATATATACATACCTTAAACATTTTACTTGAAAGAAAAAAATAGGCCCAAGGCCATTTTTATTTAATGTAGGCATTCTCTTTCAGGATTTTCTTACATAAACATATTTATTTATTGTCTGCACTCCTAATTTCAGTTTCTTTTAAGAATAAAGTATTTTTCTTTTAAGTTGACCAGAAGGCAGGGCGCCATGCCTTACGCCTGTAACTCCAGCATTGGGAGGGAGGCCAAGGCAAGTTGATCACTTGAGCCCAGTAGTTCTAGACCAGCCTGGGAAATGTGACAAAACCCCATCTCTACAAAAAAATACAAAAGTTAACCAAGGGTGGTGGCGTGCACCTGTAGTCCCAGCTACTCAGGAGGCTCAGGAGGGAGAATTGCTTGAGCATGGTAAGTCCAGGCTGCAGTGAGCCATGATTGTGCACTGCACCACTCCAGCTCAGGTGACAGAACAAAAATTTAAATTTAAATTTAAATTTTAATTTTAAAAAAATTTAAATTAAAATTAAAAAAAAAAAAGTTGACCAGAAATTTCAGTCTGAATCTATCTAGGTTTTAGTTATTTCTCCAATCTTTTTACAGTTATCTTATTCACACCAAATTCAGCAGAACTTTTTTAGCAATTTGCCTTCACTGGAATATTCTGAATTATTCAAATGTGTTTTCTATGAGAAAAACTCCCTTTTCCATTAATAGTTCATCAGTTTATATAATGATTGAATTATCATCAATTTAATAAAAAGTAGAACTATTTATAAATAAGTCAACAGCTTAACCCATGACATAGATGCACTGGATTACTAAAATGGAAGCCTACCTACTAGCTGTGAAAATTTGGCATGCCATCAGCATCAGTCTGAATGTGAGAATTCATAGTAGAAAGGGAAAATCAAGTTTAGACCATCAGGTTCGTTAAATTGAGGTACATTAAGAAATCTTCTCCTATAATAACAAATCCCTATTCAGACATAGCTTTTTCACTGTTGGCAAATAAAGGATAAAACAAAAATCATGAATTACCTCTCTAATTCATAATTTTTAAAAATTCTGTCACCATTTTTTATCCACAGTTACCATGCAATAATCTACAAATTATCTTTGGCATCTCATGCTCTCTCATATTTTTCCTCTTAAAAATCTCTTGGCTATCTTGACTACTCTAACCTTAATTCAGATCTTCGTGATCTCTGGCTTAAACTACTAGAAAAGCCTCCTGACTGGTCTAGTAATCATATCATTGCCTTCAATTTGCTCTATGTAAACTAGCCAGGATGATTTTGCTAAGGTGAAAATCTGACATTATTATTCTTCAAATTAAAACTCTTCAATGATCCTTCATAGCTTATATACATTGAGTCTTACAATATGCCAGGCACAGTGCTAAGCATTTTATCAATTGGCTCATTTAATCAATTTATTTATTCATGGTATCTGTTGAACACCCATGTCTCAGCCTATTTCAGTCTTAGGGATACAACCATGAATAAAACAAATTTATGTAAACTTCACAGAGCTAGGATTATCTTTTTTCAGTGCTCTATTCCAAGATCCAGACAGTCTACACTCAGAAACCAACTGTTAACTGTTACTCTGACTCCATTCAACCTCTTTTGACTCATCTTTTCACTCCTTACATGGCATTTTTCCCTTGAGCAAGATTTAAAGGCATTAGTTCACCACACACTGTGCTGTTCATTGCTCCTTTTCCTGGGATTCTTTCATTGTCGTCCAGTAATAGAAAATAACATGTCGTAAATAATGGCCTTCAATATATACCAGCATGTGTTATCATCCATTCCAAGAGAAACAAGGAATTAAAAACAGAATGCATTCAAAAAACTAGAGAAAACATTTTACCTAAGGTAGACTTTATGGTCCAAGAAATCTTAGTTCTTATTGCTGATAATAGAGCTCTTTATTAAAGCCCAAGAATTATAAATGTTAAAATGACAACATGTAGTGAATAGCCTTCATCTAGGTTTTACTTCATAATTTAAATAGTTAATGCTTTATGCTTTTCTTCCAAGATTGGCTTTATCAGTGTCTAAATGTTGCCTTGTCTTACAGCTGAAAAGAAAGTCAAACTAAATAAGTTGATTAAAGAATTGAGTGCTGTTTTAGGTAAGTGAGAAATTAACTTTTTACATGATCTTTCCTACCATCCCTTCATTCTCTTATTAATTTCGCCATTTTAACCTTCCATTAATTAAGTGTTTTTATTTATCTGCTTTGGATCACCTATACTTTTACAACCAATAGAGGTACTAGGTCTTGGCACAAGATATAGGATACTTCAGAATTGAGGTAATAGCTGAGACATTTCTGTGAACAAAATTATTTGGATGGATCATCAATATCATAATTTTCAGGGAAATTATATTAACTTCATATTATGTGTAGTAATTTTCTCCTATATTATGATGACATGACTTTTATTATAAATAAGAGAAATAAGTTATATTTCTGAGTCTGGTAATTTATTCTGCATAATACAGCAAGTGTGCTCATGTCTTTGTTGCTCATCTAGCAATAGAAGATGCTGCTACCATCCAGGCACGGTGACTCATGCCTGTAATCCCAGTACTTTGGGAGGCCAAGGTGGGAGGATGGCTTGAGCTCAGGAGTTTGAGACCAACCTGGGCAACATGGCAAAATTCCGTCTCTATAAAATATAAAAATTAGCTGGGCATAGTGGCATGTGCCTGTGGTCCCAGTTACCAGGAGTGCTGAGATGGGAGGATCACTGGAGCCCGGAAGGTGGAAGTTGCAGTGAGCTGAGATAGCGCCACTGCACTCCAGCCTGGGTGACAGAGCAAGACCCTATCAGAGAGAGAGAGAGAGAGAGAGAAAGGAAAGAAGAGGAAGCAGCTGCATGAATAGTATTTGATATTGCTATGTAGCCATGATAGCAGACTTTTCTTAATAGTATGAGAATGTTTTTAGTCCTAATTCTACCTTTTGGTCCTCCCTCTATGAGAGCCACAGGGGAAACCATCAGGAATTGTCCAGACCTCCACTATTGCTGATTCTGCTTGAGATGAGCTGACATCTCAATGTCAAATCAGGATGATTTCATCCTGTTTTTGCCTTTGAATCATTTGTTAAATTATCTGTTGATACAGTGGCTGCATAGAAGCACTTGAGACTCTGAAAAGCAGAACTCAAACAGTGTGAGGCAAACAAAACCGAAAATATTATAAGAAGGGACTGGAAGGTATTCTGGAATCATGGCCAAACATTTGTCAGACATGAGTGAAAACTAGTCTAACCAATCCTTTAAGTCTACCTTTAAAACTCGAGTTTTCTTTTAGCTTAGATATAAATGTCCAAGTGTGAATCCTGGGCAACATGGCAAAACACCATCTCTACAAAATATGCAAAAATTAACTGGGCATGGTGGCACATGCCTATGGTCCCAGCTACTAGGGCAGAGGCGGGGGGCACTGAGGTGGGAGGATCTCTTGAGCCAGGAAGGCGGAGGTTGCATGAGCTGAGATAGCACCACCGCACTCCAGCCTGGGTGACAGAGCAAGACCCTATCTCAAAAAAAAAAAAAAAAAAAAAAAAGAAAGAAAGAAGAAAGAAGAAGAAGAGGAAGAGGAAATGTGATTGCAAGTACAATGTAAAGAATTAGCAATGTGGCAATTCTCCCTGTTTATCAAAAGAAAATTCACAAAAGAGTCACAAAAGTATATGTATGCTTATATATGGTAACTGAGTTCACCAGCCAGCAAATGCTACAAAGAGCTGTATATCAGTAACTTGAAAAATCATCAATCCTGGAATACAAAATTTTAAAACTGATTTTCTCTCACAAATAAAAAGATAGTGAGTGCTTTCTCAAATTTTATTTAAGTTTGACTAGTTACCTTTGCAAAAATTTATGGCTAGTCCCACAAACCTCCAACCATTAGTCCTTAAGACTAGTTTGGATTGGGCCTGTGGTTTTCATCCTTTGTGAAATATTCACTTATACACTCAACAGAATAAGACAACAAAAACAAAACAAAAATAATTGAGGCATGACTCAATTATTATATTAGGGAAATTATATTAACTTCATATTATGTGTAGTAATTTTCTCCTACATTTTGATGACATGACTTTTATTATAAATAAGAGAAATAAGTTATATTTCTGAGTCTGGTATTTACTCTGCATAATACAGCAAGTGTGCTGATGTCTTTGTTGCTCATCTAGCAATAGAAGATGCTGCTACCGTCCAGGCACGGTGACTCATGCCTGTAATCCTAGTACTTTGGGAGGCCAAGGTGGGAGGATGGAAATTATATTAGGAAAATTCCCTAATATAATTGAGGCATGACTTTATTCAAATAGAGAAGCAAAAGTTAAAGCAAAGCAAGTAGTGGAAGAATAGGCAGGTTAACAGCAAAGATATTTACCACATATACTACAAATCAAAAAGTCTAATTATATTACACAAAGAACTAGCACTAAGGACAAAGACAAATCCTGGGATAACAAAATTAATTTGCCCACAAGAACTCAATACAATACAGTAAGAGCTCAAATTGTTGACTTACACGACAGCAAATGTGAAGGACAAATAGAAATTATACATAAGAGTCCTGGTGAGTACCCCAGTTGGTCCAACAAGCCCCATGGAATGCTGCCAGATGGAGATCTTCAAAATAAGTAGACCCTTCAGGATTTTTAAAGGCCGACACAACTAACAATTATTTGAAATAAAAAGCAAAGCTGGTCAGACACAGTCACAACTGTGCAGAACAGAATGCTTACATAAGATTTGGGGGAAGTATAGAGTTGAGTGATGGGCAAACTCAGAGGCATGGGTAGGTTGACATCATCTGTAGAAACATGATTTCTTTGGTAAAATTGTTATTGATTGGTTGGTATTCACAAAAGTGTTAATTGAAGTGTGACTGTTCCCATGTGGCTGACTTTCAGAAACAAGATGCTGTGACTGATTGGTTGGCCTGCAGAAATGTGTTACTTTTAGTAATTTGTCACTGAGTGATTAAACAAATTTAAAACCAGTCTGGTGGTTCCTTGTTGCCATTATGTGGAACAATCAGTCTTTTATTTTTGGAATACAAAAATACAAGTACTTTTTAATTTTCAATAGCTATACAGATTCTCATAGTAGACAATGGAGGAGAAATGAACCCACTGTTTCTCCTGATATGTACACAGCTGGATCCAAGTACACAGGATAGAAGTCATCACAATATCCACAACTAAAGTTATATCAAGTTCCTCTGCCATGCCTCCTCCATAGGCTAGGACACCATTGCCCTCCACTCTATTTAGGCTGTCCTATCATCTGGTTCTATGGATATGATGGAGGAAGGTCCCCAATCCAATTCATTAACAAGACAGAAAAAGAAGACCCAGTAGTAACAATTCGGGTCCCTTGCCCACTTTTTGATCAGGTTGTTTTTTCTTACTATTAAGTTCTTTGAGTACCTTATATATTTTGGATATTAACCTTTTATCAGATGTGTGGTTTGCAAATATTTTCTCCCAATCTGTTGGTTGTCTCTTCACTCTATTAATTGTGTCCTTTGCTGTTTAGAAGCTTTTTAGTTTGCTGCAATCCCACTCATCTGTTTTTAGTTTGGTTACCGATGATTTTGTGATCCTATCCAAGAATATCGTTGTCTAGACCAAAGTCATGGAGAGTTTCCCCTATGTCTTCTTCTAGTAGTTTTACAATTTCTAGTAGTTTTACACCACTGATTTTTCTATGTTGATATTGTATCCTGCAACCATACTGAATTGGTTTATTGGTTCTAATAGTGTTTTGTTGGAGTCTTTAGGGTTTTCTTTATGTAAGATCATGTCATCTGCAAACAGACAACTTAACTTTCTCTTTCCAATTTGAATGCCTTCTATTTCTTTCTCTGAAACTGTAACTTTAATGAGTGAGGTAAGGGTCTAATGTCATTCTTCTGCATGTGAATATCCAGTCTTCCTAACACCATTTATTGAAGAGACTGTCCTTTCCCCATTGTGTGTTCTTGGTACCTTTGTCTAAAAATCAAAATTGACCATAACAGTGTGGATGTATTTCTGGACCTCTGTTCTGTTCTATTGTTTGAAATGTGTCTGTTTTATGCCAGTACTATGCTGTTTTGATTCCTATAGATTTGTAGTAGGTTTCCAAATTCAGTAGTGTGATGCCTTCGGCTTTGTTCTTTTTGCTCAAGATTGCTTTGGCTATTTGGGATCTTTTGTGTTTCCATACTTATTTTAGAATTGTTTTTTCTATTTTTGTGAAAAATGTCATTGGAATTTCAGTAGGGATTGCATTGAATTTATAGATCACTTTTTTGATGGTCAAAATTCATTTATTTTGGATATTGCATGTATTCTTATTTTAAAACTTCTTTTTTTTAAGTTCAGGGTTACAAGTGCAAGTTTATTACATAGGTAAACTTGTGTCATGGGAGTTTGTTGTACAGATCATTTTATCACCCAGGTATTAAGCCTAGTACTCATTAGTTATTTTTCCTGTTAATGTATAGATCACTTTGGGTAGTATGAACATTTTAGCAATATTAATTATTCTAATCTGTGGACACAAGATATCTTTCCATTTATTTGTTTCAGCAATGTTTTATAGTTTTCAGGATACAGATATTTCACCTTCTTAATTAAATTTATTCCTAAGCTTTTTTGTAGCAATTGTAAATGTGATTAGTTCCTTGATTCCTTTTTCAGATAGTTCATTGTTACTGTATTAGAAACACCACTGATTTTTCTATGTTGATGCTGTATCCTACAGCCATACTGAATTGGTTTATTGATTCTAAGTGTTTTGTTGGAGTCGTTAGGGTTTTTGTTACATAAGATCATGTTATCTTTAAACAGTCAACTTTTTGTTTTCAATGTGAATGCCTTCTATTTCTTTCTCTTAAAAGTGGGATTCCCTGGAAACCATCATTCTCAGCAAACTAACATAGGAACAGAAAGCCAAACACTACATGTTCTCACTCATAAGTGGGAGTTGACAAATGAGAACACGTAGACATAAGGAGGGGAACATTACATACCAGGGCCTGTCAGGGGGTAAGGGACAAGGGGAGGGAGAGCATTAGGACAAATACCTAATGCATGTGGGGCTGAAAACCTAGATGATGGGTTGATAGGTGCAACAAACCACCATGGCACCTATATACCTATGTAACAAACCTGCACGTTCTGCACATGTGTCCCAGAACTTAAAGTAAAATTTTTTTTTAAAGTGGGCTTCCTGGTCTTGTTCCTGATCCTAGAGGGAAAGTTTCAATTTTTCGCCATTGAGTATGTTGTTAACTGTGAGTTTGTCATATATAGGCTTTATTGTGTTGAAGAACACTTATTCTATATACAATTTGTTGAGTTTTTATCATAAAAGGATGCTGAATATTGTTGAATGCTTTTCTACATCTATTGAGATGATCATATGTTTTTTTCCTTCATTCTGTTAATGTGGTATATCACATTTATTGATTTGTATATGTTGAACCATCCTTGCCTCCAGGGATAAATCCCACTTGATCATAGTGAATGGTCCTTTTAATTGATGTTGAATTAGGTTTACTAGTATTTTGTTTATGATTTTTACATGTATATTTATCAGAGATATTGGCCTATAATTTTCTTTTCCTCTAGTGTCCTGGGCTGGCTTTGCTATAAAGGTAATGCTGGCTGAGGCCCCATTTTGCAATATACTCTCTATCAAGCATTTATTATGTGCATTTTATGGACATTGTACTACTTAATAATATAATTTATGTAATCTATGTACTTTTCAATATGAAATGTACGTGCCTCACATTTTACTCTCCTAACGTAATGATTATTTTAAAAATATCAGGAGAAATAGTTAAACTTCTATACTGTAAGAAAAGAACTAAATTATTATTTGTTTTATTTTTACCTTTGAAATTATTATAATGGTATATGAGTGAAAATATTGTTAGTTAACATTATTTGTGTTCTTCTCAAATTTATTTTTGTCACAATTTCTATCTCTTTTCTAGGGAAACAGGTAGATGTCTGTGACCTAGAAGATGCACTAAAAGACATGGAAATAGAGGTCCCATATGAGGACTACTTGCATTTAGTAAAAACTTTGCCGCTTGATGGTAAGAATTTAAAATGTATGTATCCTTCAAAGGGCTTCAGAGTGCTTTTGAGATTGTGAGCTTTTCTTCTAAAATGATACAAGATTGTTACCAGGGTTTTTTTTAAGTCAAAGTATGGTAAGAAAGCAGATAAATCTGAGATTTTCTCCTATTTTTCATTAACACAAATTTATTTGTATTCAGTTTAAAATTCCATACATGTATCTTCCCACTATTTATGTTATGATAAGTATATCATGTTAAATATAGTATGTTATGATAAATATTGTTAGATATGTTATGATAAATATGTTAGACATATGATGCCATAGTTCTTTGAAAAATTACCCAGCATCCTATTAAACTCACACTATGTTGATACAAACAAAAGATATAGTCAGAGGTTGAGATTCTACTTCTAGTTTTAAAAGCTTTTAGAATTACTAGATTTTTGCAAAAAAAAAAAAATCTGGTTAATTTGATTTTTATCAACATAAACAGTAGCTATTGTACTCCTTCATGCCAATAAGACATGTGTATTGTTGTCATTGATTGCATTAATGAACCTGATAGTATGGGGGAGAATGTAAAATGGAAAAGTAAGAGGGGTATAAGGAAAGAAGTTAGAGATAAAGGTAAATAAAATGAGATATAAGTTTCAAAATGTTTAAGCCAATAATTATTGCTTTTGTGTAAGTGTGGACAGATCTACCTCATTAAAGTGTCTCCAAATAATCTTCGTAACTAATTGAGAGAAAAGTAGGTAAATTTCAGAGAAAAATATTTAAAACTCCATCTTTCTGAAATTATGGGATTAGGGGAAGAATTGTCACATTTTTATTGTTTAGCAAGTCTCCCTTTATTGTTCTCTGACCTGAATTGTGTGTTTTCTTACAGCTGAAGGAAAGGTGTTTCAAAAAAGGTTGCTGGATGGTATAAAGACTGTTAAAAGTAAGTGCAAAGTATGGTGAGAAAGCAGATAAATCTGAGATATTCTCCTGTTTTAATTTATACAAATTTATTTGTATGAAATTTAAAATCCCATGTATACATCCTACCAGTATTTATGCATACGTTAGATATATTATGCCGTAGTTCTTTGGAAAATTACCCAGCATCCTATAAAACTTGCACTATGTTGATATAAACAAAAGATATCGTCAGAGGATGAGATTCTACATCTAGTTGTAGTGGTGACCCTATTTGTACCCTTAACTAGATCTGATTAAACTTTATGTCTTGATGATTAAAGTGATAACCATAACACATATGAATTAAGAAGGATTTTTTTCATATCTTAGTATTCCTTTTTAATATTTTGTCTCTCCTAAGGAGGAAAGGTTGATATAAATGACCTGGATAAATTTCTGGAAAATATGGGGATTGAGCTCTCAGAAAAAGAACTTGAAGATTTTTCAAAAGACCTACCAGTTGATGGTGAGCATTATAGATAAAAATGTATTATGTTTAAGACAGCTTGGGTTTGAAAGCATACATAGACCAATGAGAGTGGTTAATTGATATCAATAGGGCATTTTTAAAAGCTTAGAGCAGAATTCAGGTCAGATGAAAACATATTTCCTCTCTTTAATTCAAGTCCAGCAAATGTATTCCATTATGGATAGTAAAATTGGTGAGGGTACTAACAGACCTCTCTCAGGTCAAAGAATGAAGAAAAGAAGAAAAATAGAATGTGAAAGATTTAAAAGAAACGTTACACAATATGTGAGAGAAAAGGAAAACTCTCTATGATGAGGCATGGTTAAAACTGATTAATGGTGATTTCCAGTACATATGATTCAGCTGTTATGAAATAGAAAGATTAACATGTAATAGACCTAGAATAGAAAGGACATTAGAAATGTTAAGAGATGTAACTATGAATAGTCAGTCTAATATTACTATCATAATAGGATACTACATGTAATATGAGGTTAGATTTTAAATATGTTAGTAAAATGAAAATTTTTCAGAGGAAAAAAGTGCCAGTATTGATTCAAGAAGATATGAAAATATGGATAGACCAATAATATTTGATAAAATAATTTTACCTGTAAACTCATCTACCACTACCCATCCCTCCAACAAAAGGTGATAGCCTCAAATGGTTTTCAAAGTAAGTTCTTTCAAATTTTCAAAAAATTTTCGTTTTAATGTTACGCAAACTGGTCCAGAGGACTCCAACTTGAGTTGATGAAAAAAGCAAAATCTGGCTAGTTTTCTTCTCCTCTAATACCTAACAAAATGAACAACAGAATTTTTAAAAAAACAAAAATAAGCAAAGGAAATTCAACATGAATCAAATAATAAAAGGGAACCAATTTAATGCCATAAATGTTAAATGGGGACAGACAAGGAAATAAAGACTCTACACTGGAAACAATAGTACAGCAGAGCTGGGCTCCTCAAAACCTTTCTCATTCTTCAGAAACTAAACTGGTAAGCTGCAAAATCCAGAGAATTCACACTAAAGTGCCCAGACCTAGGGTAAAGCAAATTGAATAAATAACTTTTTTCCCTCTCAACTTACTAGGAAGAAGTAGAAACAACTGTTAGGGATGAATTAGTAAAGAAAGGGAAATCAACAATATAAATCACTCATCTCCTCATCCTTTCCTTTTATTCTAGATCAAAGGGAATACTGAATGTTGAACAGGATAAAATTTTTTTCCACCTACTCCTAAAGATTCCTCTAAAGTTTCACAATATCAGGGGCAAAGAGAAATTTATAAATCATTAACAGGAGAAAAAACAAACTATACACAAAATGATAAAAGAATCTTATATTACCAACATTTGATTCAAAAAGAAATAGAAAAATATTTATCTCAAAGTGCTAGAGAAAAATAACTTTGAACACCAAATATTCAAGGATTAGAGTGAAATAGACATTTTCAGGCAAACAAGAACACAGAAGTTTACTAACCATGTATTTTCTCTAAACAAATTACTAAAAGATGTATTCTAATAAAAACAAAATGAATACAGGGGAAGTAATGAAGGAAAGAACTTATTCTTAAATCTAAGTGAGTATTGCATATTCAAAAATGTAATTTCATAGTCTAGAACTAAAACTCAAGATGATACCAACATTCTAGTTGGGGGCAGGTGTCATGGGTGGAAAAAACCGAAAGAACCGCCTTATTGTTGCTCTGTGACTGCTCCATGTCTTACAGTTGATGAGAAGGTTGATCTGAAAAACATGATGCTGAGAATAAAAGATTTTACAGGTAAGTTTTTTTTCCAGGAGGTTTATTCTCTCTTCCATTGAGGTCTTAGTATTTTGTGACACTCAGCTGTAGCAGGATACTTTAGCATGGGGTTATCCACCATGTTTGGCATGTACATATCAGCCAAGTAAACCCAGTTACAATACATCCTGTATCTCCAATGGGAGAGAGCAAAATGCACTCCAAGGCACTAAAGAAGGGCAGGTTCTCAGTGGATTGCATTATTATTATTATTATCGTATTTTATAATAGACTGTATTTTAGCACACTTTTAGATTTATAGAATTGAGCATATTGTATAGAGAGTTCCATCTACCCATCCTTCCACTCCCTTTTATCCCAAGCACACAATCTCCCTGCTATTAACATCTTGCATTAGTATGGTACATATGTTACAATTAATAAACCAACATTCATACATTACTATTAACTATAATCTATAGTTTACATTAAGTTTCACTCTTTGTGTTGCATAGTTCTATGGGGTTTGACAAATGCATATAGATATGTACCTACCATTACAGTTTCATACAGAATAGTTTCACTGCCCTTAACATCCCATGTGTTTCACTTATTCATCTTTTCCTCCCTTCCTTCCCCCCACCACCCTTCCTCTACTTTGTTAAATGGATTATGAAAGGCAGGATAGCATTCTACAACCCTAGAATATTAGCCAAAGTGGCTTTGCCTCCTGACTCCTGTTCCATCAGGAAGGTCGGGGGCTGCTGCAGGTGAGTTTCCGTAACACTGAAACCCTAATGTTTCACAGTAAATTATATTTTAGATGCTGTTTCCCCAGTAGTCTATTGTTATATTAACTTTGTCATTTTACCCAGTTATTGTAAAATATTTCTGCCTGATAAAATCAATTTGATCTTGGATAAACTTTTAAAAATAAACCACATAACATAGTCTTGATAAAAACTCCAATGTTCTGAGGAGATATTTTTTCACCTGTATATGTTTTTTGCTGAATGTATATAGCTAAATTTCAGGCAAGCACAATGATAAATAGGATAAAGTTTGCAAAGCTCAAGATACATGTAGTTTCATGAATGATCAGCTATATCATTCAGTATAATATCTCTTGCCAGAATTCTGTTGGCAATTGGTAATCCAATTTGTTAACTAGATTTAATTTTATATATTATCCTCAACATTAAGAGAGCCTTCATTATATTGATATTATAGGAACAGGTTTGCCTTGACTTCTGTTGTCACACTGTACTTGCACGTTCCATTTTGCCTTTGCTCTTTAACTCCAAATTGAGAGTGATGCTATATAAAATATAAGTATTTTAAAAATCACTCAAATAGGTTAGTATGAACTTAAAATTATTTTTTAAAGTTACTAATTTGTAAACTTTTCACCTATTAACACTCCACCTTTTCAAAGGAGAAAAGGTTGATGCCAGAGATCTGAAAAATGTTCTTGGAGAGATGGGGATAGAAGTCAATGATAAGGACTGCGTGGAACTGCTAAAGTTACTACCAGTTGATGGTGAGCTGTATGTTACTGTGAACTCTAGGCAGTTTAGTTTTATGGTTCTACTCTTGAAATGTATATGTGAAAGCAATGCATGTTCATATGTTAGCTGCACACATCCTCCAGCTGTTTCCATATGAACAGTCTTTCTATTACTATGTGCTCACTCAGGTACAGAATTTAACCCCCAAAAGAATCCTTTTCCACAAAACCATTGCTGAGGTGGAAAGATGTTACTGATGATTTTGCAAGGAGGAAAAGGATTTATATCTGCTGTCTCTCAGTAAACATTGCCAAAGTCCTCATGAGAATTCCTGTTCTTTCCCAGAATCACTTTTCTAAGTATTGCCAATGGAGATTCCCTTTTCCTGACCCTTATCTCTCACAGAGCTAAACCCTAAAAATTCTTTCCTCTGTTCTCAATTTCTGAGAGGATACCAAATTTATCTCTCCTATCTATTAGGAGTGTTGTTTCTTTCTTCCCTTAAACACAAAGGCCCCACATCTTCCCAACATAAGCTTTTGCTTATTTATCCCTGCAAACAATTCTTATACCAACTGCTAGAAAATTAAATTTTTCCATATGTTTTACCAGTTTGGAAGTTATAAAAACCTTCAAGCATGAGCTTTGCCACCAAGGACTAAGCAAATCCCTACTGCTACCCATTAGGCCATTGACATGTCAAACTTTAGGTGTAGAAGGAAGTAAACAGAATGAAAATGTGATAGAAATAAGGGGTGAGAGGAGTTTCAGCCCTGTGATACATAAACCAACAGTTAGTTTCAGTGTCAAAGAGTAAGCAGATTTATTAATAATAACATCTAGACTTATTAAGTCCTAATGATGAGGTGTTGTACTATCCTCACCACACACAATGATGACACATTATCTCCATCTTACAGTGGTGGAAACAGAGGCGTAGAAAGAGTAAGTAACTTGCTTGAGGCCACAAAGCCAGTCTGCAGAGCAAGAATTTAATTGCAGGCTCTTGCCCTCTACACCAGATTACCACTCCATATCATAATGAAAGCTTTGTTTGTTGCTTAACTTCATCATGATTTGAAGGTGAAAGAGGGTCAACTTTAAGGTCAGTTTCACAAAGAAAAGTCTGCCCCTTATAGTCTCTTAGTGAGCCATTCTCTGTCCTGAACTGTGCCTTTTTTTATAGGTGATAAGAAAGTTTTTCGGAATAGATTGCTAACGGGTTTGAAGTCTTTCAAAGGTGGGTAATAAATGTGATGAGAAAGCATATAAGATTGAGATTCTCAATCTTTGTCTTTATTCCTAGTTATGAGGGCATGATTCTTCTGCCACCTCTTCTATTTATCGATTATATATTGATCTTGTAGTCTTTTATGTGTGTATGCTGTGTAAGCTTGATCGCTGGATCAGACTCAAAGGAAACAGTCCTAAGTGTCTCCACTTTTGTCTTTCTGTTTAATTTTAGATAGGTCTAATTAAAGTTATGGCCTTCACAGTGCTGAAAATAACCATCATAATGTTCAGTTGTGAATTGATAGTATTCTTTTATTTTATTCAATGTAAAAAGTGTCACATGTCCAATAAATAATCTTATTTATTTATTTATTTTGATACAAAGTTTCACTCTTGTTGCCCAAGCTGTAGTGCAATGGCACAGTCTCAACTCAGCACAACCTCCACCTCCCAGGTTCAAGTGATTCTCCTGCCTCAGCCTCTGCGTAGCTAAGATTACAGGCACCCACCACCACGCCTGGCTAATATTTGTAATTTTAGTAGAGACAGGATATCACCATGTTGGCCACGCTGGTCTCAAACTCCCGACCTCAGGTGATTCGCCCTCCTCTGCCTTCCAAAGTGCTGGGATTACAGATATGAGCCACTGTGCCTGGCCGTATCTAATTTTTTAAAATAACACTCATAGTCCTGCTATCTAATCATAACCACTCTTAATATGTTGAAGCCTGTGTAGTTAAAAAATCCCACATAGTCAAAATTACTCTGAAATCCTATTGGAAGATCACATAAAAGTTATCAATATACTAGTCTTGATAAGTTCCAACATAGTCATTTTTTCATCCAACGATGGAATAGATTTCTATAGTTAAGCAATTAGATGAAGCAGTTGGTCAAGAGCCATGATATACAAAAATTTGTATAATACTGGAATCACACTGAGTTAAGGTGCTCACAGTATGACAGGCACAGGAGAAATTAGTCCATCTGATGGAGTAATAAATTGATATTGTCTATCTGAGGTTTACTCTACTAATGTGCTTCCTGTCTGTGGAATGGCAGGAAGAATCACAGGCATTATTTACATTGTTTCATGTTTATTTTTACTGGGCATAAGGACTTTAGTAAATATGTTAAACAATCATATAACTCCACCTTATTTTCAAAAAAGTATTTCTTTTCCTGTGGCAAACATCTTTCTTAATGGCTATAGCTACATAATTTTCTGTGGGTTGAAAATACGTTGGTTTACTTAACAATACCCTGTTGTTAGATATTTAAATTCTGGGTGTTTGAATTTGTTTTACTTTTGTAACAAAGACTATAATGAACACTTGTCCCCTCTTTTGGCACAAGCTTTACTGTATTCCCAAAAGTGGAATTATTGGGCTAAGATTTATGAACTTTTTAAATAATGGAGGTGGGGCCTCACTATGTTGCCCAGGCTGGTCTCGAACTCCTGGGATCAAGCAATCCCCCCACCTCAGCCTCCAAAAGTGCTGGGATTATACGCAGGAGCTACCACACCTGGCCATATTTTGAACATTTTAATGGATCTTGATAGTTATTGCCAAACTATTTTCCAATTAGGTCATTGCAATTAACTCTCAGCAACAGTCAGGCCTATTGAATGTTAATTTAACTAACAGCATGAAAAGTATTTTTCACATTGTCTTTATTAGGTTTTTTTAAATCACATTTCTCTCTTTCCTAAGGAGGAAAGGTTGATATCGGTAACCTGAAGACGATTCTTGGGAACATGGGGATCAAGCTCAAAAATAAGGAACTTCATAGTGTGATACAAAATCAACCTGTTGATGGTGAGCATTGTAAATAACTATTTTGCCTTTTAGGGGAGAGCTTAGAATCTTGGGATCATGTATATTAATTTCTAAAACTAGATTGATTTGAGGCACTTAAGATATTTCTAAGCATCATGGAGAAGAACTTGGTGTGAAAATAAGAAGAAATCTTGTCTTTTGTCATTTTATTCATCTGGATTATCATCCTGCTCAACTATAAGCAATGTTGAGAGGATATTCACAACTGTTATTAGGCCAGAGAATGGTAGGGAGAAACAGATATGAGAGCAAGGGGGAAAATGAATAAATAAACAACAAAGAGAGCCAGAAACAATTGATAGAAAAATATCTACAATAGAAAGTAGCAGAACATCATTAATATTTCATCAAGTATCTAACAACCACGTCACCACCATTTTGAGATATATACAGAAGTTGAAAACATTAGAGGAAAGCATATTGACAATAGATAAAGCATATTGACAATAGATAGAAGCTCAGTGTCTGTGTTAGATGTCAGGTTCACATACACGCAAAAATCTTTTATGAATGGTATCTTTTACCATGCTTATTAGAAAGTATCTGAAAACCCAAGAATGAAGGACATAGTACGTTTGCCATATCAAACCTTGTGTTTAAGGAACATGGGCTGACTACCTTGGTCCTTCTTACTAATAAAGAATTAAGCACTCAAACCAGGAAATATAAATTTAAGATGAATACAGTTTATTAAAATGCATAGTCTTTCATTGGGCTGTAGCTTATAATTTTTCTAAGTTCTGTGTCATTGTCCAAATTTTTTGTGCTTTGTATTACAGCTAATGGAAATGTTCCTCTGAAAAAGGTGATGGATGATGTGAAAGCAATTATAGGCAAGTTAAAACGTATTGTAAATATTTAAATTCTAGTTCTTTAATTATTTTTCTCATCTTTTCAGTTAACACATATATTTATAAGCATCTTGCTAATATCCCTGAATCTAATAATCAACAAAATAACTAGAATATTTCCAATATCATTGCATCAACCCATGGTTACTCCCCTCCCCATTTCCCTGCACTTTGGGAGGCTGAGTCAGAAGGATCACTTGAATGCAGGAGTTTGAGGTTGCAGTAAGTTATGACTGTGCTACTGCACTCTGGTTCTGGGCAACAATGCGAAACCCTGTCTCAAAAAAAAAATCTTATTGGCTTCATTTCTAAGTATCTTAATGTTCTGATAATAAAAATGCTGTTTTTTAAAATTATGTTTTCTTTTTTTGGTTAAAGTATGGAAATGCAACTGAGTTTTCTATACTGATCTTAAACCTCTTTGCAAAACTCTCATTAATTCCAACAGTCTGCCCATAGGTGCTAATGGATTCTTTTAGATACATAAATTATTATGTATCACATGTAGATACATTTTATGTGTTATATGTAGATACATAAATTTTTATATCACATGGATATATAAATTATATAGATTATATAGATAATGTTATATAGATTCTTTATGCAAATGATTACTATAAATGGGGACTGTTTCTGTTTCTTCTTTTTCAACTGTTCTAACATCTGTTTTTCCTTGCCTTACTGTAATAGCCAGGACTTCCAATATATAATACTAAATACAGTGTTCATAGGCATTCTTGTCACATTTCTGATTTTAAAGGAAATGTATTAACATTTCATCTTTGAGAATGTTTGTTGAAGTTTCTGGATGACACCCTTTATCAGGTTAAGAAATTCTCCTATTCTCTTTTGGCTGGAAGATGAAGGCAAGGTGTTTGCCTGTTTTTTTCTTTTTTTTTTTTTTTTCAGTACTGTAACCCCCAGTATTTGGAGCAATGTGTACTTGATGAATAATATTTGTTGAAATCATCTGTTTATTGAGATGATTGTGTGGTTTTTCCTTTAATTTTTGATGTGGAAAGTGGCATGCATACATTTTTTTTCGCTTAAACCAGTCTTATATTACTAAGATATATTGAATTTAGGCATCAGTTTTGGATTAGGCTTACTAATGTTTTGTTTCAGATTTTTAAATCTATTTTCATGACTAAAGTTCTATAATTTTCTTTCATGTACTATCACGTTCCATAATTTTCATGTACTTTGGTATCAAGGTTATATTGGCCATATATAATCCATCTTGGGGAAATATTTCCTCTTTATTAGTTTCTGAAAGAGTTTGTATAAGATTAGAATTGGCCAGGTATGGTGGCTCACACCTGCAACTCTAGTGCTTTGGGAGGCCAATGCAGGAGGATTGCTCAAGGAGTCCATGACCAGCATGGACAACATAGTGAGACCCCATCTCTCCAAAAATATACATATTTTAAAAATTAGCAGGAGGTGGTGGTCCACACCTATAGTCCCTGCTACTCAGGAGGTTGAAGCAGGAAGATCATTTAAGCTCAGGAGTTTGAGTGAGCCACGATAAGCACCACTGCACTCCAGTCTGGGCAACAGTGTGAGACCCTGTCTAAAAAAAAAAAAAAAAAAAAAAATAGATTGGAATAATCTGTTTCTTGAAGGTTTGAGCCAGGTACCAGTGACTCATGCCTGTAATCCCAGCACTTTGGGAGACCAAGGAGGAAGGATCACTTGAGCCCAGGAGTTCAAGACTAACCTAGGCAACATAGCAAGACCTCGACTCTGCTACAAATTTAAAAATTATCCAGGCATAGGCCAGACCTATAATCCCAGCTACTTGGGAGGCCAAGGCGGGAGGATCACTTGAGCCCAGCAGTTCAAGGTTGTAGTGAGCCAAGATCAACCACTGCACTCCAGCTTGAGTGATAGAGCAAAACCCTATCTCAAAAAAGAAAAAGTTTGATAGAACTTACCTGAAAAACCATCTGAGTCTTATGCTTTTAGGTAGAAAGATTTTAACTATTAATTTATTTTTCTTAAATGATAATAGGATCCTCTGAGAGATTTTTTGTTTGTTTTTCTTGAGCTACTTTTGGTAAGTTATATCTTCTATATCTTTGTTATTTTGGTATAAGTTTTCAAATTTATTCATAAATTATAGTATTTTCTCAATTTCTGCTAGATATGATTTAAGTCCCCTTTTTCCATTTATAAAAATATTTATTTCTGTCTTCTCTCTTCTATTTCCTTACTTAACCTGGACAAATATTTATCTGTTTTATTACTCCTTACTAAAAACCTACTTTTGACTTTCTTAATCCTATCACTATTATATCTTCATTTTCATATTTATTACTTTCTGTCTTTGTATTCATTTTCTACAACTTTTGGATTTACTCTATTGCCCTTTTCCTAATTTCTTAAGTCGGTTTTTTCTCTTATTTGACAAATAATAATTATATAGTTATAGGGTACAATGTGACATTTTAATATATGCATACATTGTAGAATTATTTTATCAAGCTAATTAACATTGTCATTACCTCACCTACTTATCATTTTTTATGGTGAGACTATTCAAAATCTACCCTTAGTAATTTTTTTAACTTGTAAGTTCAGGGGTACATGTGCAGGATGTACAGGTTTGTTACATAGGTAAATGTGTGTCATGGGGGTTTGTTGTACCAATTTTTCACCACTCACATATTAAGCCTAGTATCCATTAGTTATTTTTCCTGATCCTCTCCCTCCATTGTTAGGCCCCAGTATGTGTTGTTCCATGTGTTCTCATCATTTAGCTCCCACTTATAAGTGAGAATATGCCATATTTGGTTTCTGTTCCTGCATTAGTTTGCTAAGAATAATGGCCTTCAGCTCCATCCATATCCCTGCAAAAGACATGATCTCATTCTTTTTTATGGCTGCATAGTATTCCATGGTGTCTATGTACCACATTTTCTTTTTTTAGTCTATCATTGATGGGCATTGGGGTTGATTCTATGTCTTTGCTATTGTGAATAGTGCTGCAGTGAACCTACATGTGCATGTATCTTTATAGTAGAATGATTTATGTTCCTTTGGGTATATGCCCAGTAATGGGGTTGCTGGGTCAAATGGTATTTCTGGTTCTAGATCCTTTAGGAACTGCCACACTGTCTTCCACAATGGTTGAACTAATTTACATTCCCACCAATAGTGTATAAGCATTCTTTTTTCTCCACAACTTCACCAGCATGTATTATTTTTTGACTTTTTAATAATAGCCATTCTGACTGGTGTAAGATGGTATCTCATTGTGGTTTTGATTTGCATTTCTCTAATGATCAGATGTTGAGCTGTTCTTCATATGCTTGTTGGCCACATGTATGTCTTCTTTTGAGACATATCTGTTCATGTCCTTTGCCCATTTTTTAATGGGGTTATTTGGTTTTCTTCTTGTAAATGTGTTTAAATTCTTGATAGATGCTGGATATTAGACCTTTGTCAGATGCACAGTTTGCAAAAATTTTCTCCCATTTTGTAGGTTGCCTGCTTACTCTGTTGATAGTTTCTTTTACCCCTAGCAATTTTGAAATATACATTTTTGTTAACTATGCTCACTGTACAGTACAATAGTTCACTAAAATGTATTCCCTCTTGTCTAAATGAAACTTGGACCTTTTGACCAACATACCCCTGACTCCAGCCTCTGGTAACTGCTTCTATGAATTCAACTTTTTTAGATTCCACATATAAGTGAGACCATGTAGCACTTGTTTTTCTGTGCCTGGCGTACTTCACTTAACATTATGTCCTCCAGGTTCATCCATGTTATTGCAAATGGCAGGATTTCCTTTTTTTTTTTTTTTTTTTTTTTTTTTTTTGAGACGGAGTCTCGCTCTGTCGCCCAGGCTGGAGTGCAGTGGCCAGATCTCAGCTCACTGCAAGCTCCGCCTCCCGGGTTTACGCCATTCTCCTGCCTCAGCCTCCGGAGTAGCTGGGACTACAGGCGCCCGCCACCTCGCCCGGCTAGTTTTTTGTATTTTGAGTAGAGACGGGGTTTCACCGTGTTAGCCAGGATGGTCTCGATCTCCTGACCTCGTGATCCTCCCGTCTCGGCCTCCCACAGTGCTGGGATTACAGGCTTGAGCCACCGCGCCCAGCCGATTTCCTTCTTTTTAAAGGTGATCCAGTATTCCATTGTGCATATATACCACATTGTCCTTATCCTTTCATCCATTGATGCACACTTTAGTTAATTCCATGTCTTGGTTATTATGCATAATGCTGCAATAAATATAGGAGTGTGGATATCTCTTCAACATTTTTATTTCATTTCCTTTGTATATGTACTCAGAAGTGGGATTGCTGGATCATATGGTAATTCAGTTTTTACCTTTTCGAGGAACCTCTATGCTGTTTTCTTTTTTAAATCTATGTTCCCACCAACAGTGCGCAAGTATTCCCCATTCTTCACATTCTCAACATCTTTTGTCTTTTTGATAATAGCCATTCTAAGAGGTTTAAGGAGATATCTCACTGGGGTTTTAATTTGCATTTTCCTGATTATTAGAGATGTTGAGTATTTTTTCATATATCTGCTGGCCATTCATATGTCTTCTTTTGAATATCTTGTCAGGTCCTTTTATCATTTTTTAATTGGGTTATTTGTTTTCTTGCTATTGAGTTGCGTTCCATATATATTTTAGATATTAGCTCCTTATCAGGTGTATGGTTTGATGCCTCATTGTGCTTTTCACTTGATTTCTCAAAAATAAAACATTTAGAGGTAAGATATGTATAATTGCCAAGATTCAGTAAATGAAAGATAGGTTACTTACAGGAGATAAAATTAAGCCCACACTTTGCAGAGGGAGGAAGGAAATAACAAAGGTAAGAGCAGAAATAAATGAAATAGAGATTAGAGAAACAAACCAAACTAAAAGTTGTTCTTTTGAAAAGGTAAACAAAATTGACAAACCTTTAGCTAGACTAAGAAAAAAAGAGAGATGGCTCAAATAAACAAAATCGGGAATAAAAGAGGAGACAGTTCAACTGATACCCAGAAATACAAAGGATAATAGGATGATGCTACTGTGAACAATTATATGCTAACGATTTGGACAACCTAGAATAAATGGATAAATTTCTAGAAACATACACCTTACTAAGACTGAATCATGAAGAAATACTAAGACTGAATCATGAAATCATGAAGAAATCTGAGAGACCAATAAAGAGTAAGGAGATTGAATATGTAATAAAAAAAATCTCCCATGAAAGAAAGCGTTTGCTGTGCAGAAGCTTTTTAATTTGATGTAATCCCATTTGTCTGTTTTTGCTTTTGTTGCCTATACTTTTGGGATCATATCTAAAAAATCATTGCTCAGACCAAAGTCATGGAGCTTTCCCCTGTGTTTTCTTCTAGTAGTTATACAGTTTCGGGTCTTGTGTTTAAGTCTTTAGTCCATTTTGAGTTGATTTTTATATGTAGGTGAGATAAGGATCTAATTTATTTCTTCTGCACGGAGATATCCAGTTTCCCCAGCACCATTTATTGAAGAGACTGTATGGTACCTTGGTTGAAAATCAATTGACTGTAAATACATGGGTTTATTTCTGGACTTTCTATCCTGTTTCACTGTCCAGTGTGTCTTTTTATGCCAGTACCATGCTATATTCATTGCCATAGCTTTGTAATGTATTTTGAAATCAGGAAGTGTGATGCTTCCAGCCTTGTTCTCTTGTATTCAAGATTGCTTTGGCTATGTGGGGTTTTTTGTGGTTCCATGTAGAATTTAGGATTGTTTTTTCTATTTCTCTGAAAAATGACTTTGGAATTTTGATAAGGATTGCATTGACTATATAGATCACTTTGAATAGGATGAACATTTTAACAATATTGATTCTTCCAATTCATGAACATAGGATATCTTTGCATGTATTTGTGTCTTCTTCAGTTTCTCTCATCAGTGTTTTATAGCTTCCAGTGTACAGATCTTTCAAATCCTTGGTTAAATTTATTCCCATTTTTAAAATGTTTGATGTTATTGTTATTGTAAATGGGATTATTTTCTTCATTTCTTTTTTAGATAGTCCAAAGCTGGAGTATAGAAACACTACTAATTTTTTCTTTTTTGAGAGAGGGTCTCACTCTGTCACCCAGGATGGAAAATAGTGGTGCATTCATAGCTCACTGCATCCTACCTCCCAGGCTCAAGCGAGCCTCCCACCTCAGTCTCCCAAGTAGCTGGGACTACAGGTGCACACCACCATGCCCAGCTAGTTTTTTTGTTTGTTTCTTTTTAATTTTGTGTAGAGACGGGGTCTTCCTGTGTTGCCCAGGCTGACCTCAAGCTCCTGGGCTCAGGGGATCCTCCTGCCTCAGCCTTCCAAAGTGCTAGGATTACAGGTATGAGCCACCACACCCAACCACCTAATAATTTTTATATGTCGATTTTGTATCCTGCAACTTTACTGAATTTATTTATGAGTTTTTTTGTTTTGTTTTGTTTTGTTTTGTTTTGTTTTTTGAGATGGAGTTTCACTCTTGTTGCCCAGGCTGGAGTGCAATGGCATGATCTCAGCCCACCGCAACTTCCGCCTTCCAGATTCAAGCGATTCTCCTGCCTCAGCCTCCTGAGTAGCTGGGATTACAGGCATGTGCTACCACGCCCAGCTAATTTTGTATTTTTGGTAGAGACGGCGTTTCTCCATGTTGGTCAAGCTGGTCTCAAACTCCTGATCTCAGGTGATCCACCCACCTCAGCCTCTCAAAGTGCTGGGATTACAGGCATGAGCCAACACACCTGGTCCATTTATGAGTTTTAAGTTACTCCACTCAGTAGGTCTTGGTATGCCTTTGTTTTTTATCAGCTTTTAGGGATGGTAATGTATAAACAAAGACAATTTTCTTTCATATTGTTGAATACTTAGATTCTTAATATTCTTAATATTGTCAACTATACTTGTCGTTTCTATTTTTTGAAGGAGAAAAACTTAACGTGGAAAATCTAAAAAATATTCTCGAAGGCCTTGGAATAGAATTCACACCTAAAGAATACTTGGAACTGGTACAAAATCTGCAAATTGATGGTGAGCACTTCAAATACTACTGGACCTTTTGAAGAAGTTTAGCCCTATGTACTTAAGACAACCTAACAATAAAAAAGAAAAAAGATACCTATTAGATATTCTAGTTTAAAAAATAAAAATGGCGGCCGGGCGCGGTGGCTCACGCCAGTAATCCCAGCACTTTGGGAGGCCGAGGCGGGCAGATCACGAGGTCAGGAGATCGGGACCAACCTGGCTAACTCGGTGAAACACCGTCTCTACTAAAAATACAAAAAACTAGCCGGGCGTGGTAGCACACGCCTGTAGTCCTAGCTACTCTGAAGGCTGAGGCAGGAGAATGGCGTGAACCTGGGAGGCAGAGCTTGCAGTGAGCGGAGATGCGCCACTGCACTCCAGTCTGGGCGACGGAGCGAGACTCTGTCTCAAAAAAAAATAATAATAAAATAAATAAATAAAAATGACAGAGTAAGAAATTTTCGCATGACCTTGTTCTTCCTTTGGAAAATATAATTAAGTTCTTTCTTTGAGAGTCAGCAACTCTGTTTTCTTGAAATCTTGCCATTGGATATAAAAATTTTAGTTATTATTTTTGGTTCCACCCTGACAACTAAAAGTTGAGCTGAGAAATGTAAGAAAAAATGTGAAAGTGGAAGGAATAGGAAAGTAGAAGAAGGAAAAGTCATAGAAGAAAAGTAAAAGACATGTTCATATTCCTTTAAAGCTGTTTGCCACTATTAAATGATTAAATAATTACTTTAAGTCACAGCACTCTGAGAGTTTTCTCCATTCTGTGGTTTCAAACTCATGGGACAGCAAAAATCAAAATTATTCCTAAAGCAAATCATTTAGAAATATTTTTATGAAATGATATATTTTTACAAGTTTTCTAAGTCTCTGTATCACTTTATCTGTGCTGTGAATTTTGCCTTTTCCTGCAGATGATGGAACTATATCTGAAAATAGATTGCTAGATGGTGTGAAATCATTCAAAGGTAAGAAGCATGAAGAGAATCCTCCTGCCTCAAATTTGTATTACTGCCTGGTTATTCTCTTACAGGTCTTACCATCTCTCATAATAAGTAATTCTATATTTATTCTGCTGTTTTAAAATATAGCTGCATTTTCCAAATAGTCTTTCATTTTGCTGTCAAGCTTGGCTTTTGCCCAGTTTAGTTGAAAAGCGGATTTAAATCTGGTTCTACATAGAAAATGTGAAGCTAAGTATTGCAGTTGTTCAGGGCATTTCAGGAACTAAAAGAACTAAACTGAGCTTTTAGGCCCTTCCTACCAGAAAGATGTTTTCACTTTGTCTCCACAATAGTAATTCATCGGAGAACCAATCTGTAATTTGCAGGATTTTCAAGATCAGGCAAGAGGTTACAATTCTAATCCCATCTTGCCTACCTTTATGCGCTTAAACGTTTGGGTCATTGATATTTTTGCTGATAGCCATAGTGCATGGGGATTAATTGAAATTTTCTTGTTCAGAAGGTCATAAAATTTCCCTCATATTCTTGATTCTTTCCTTAGGTGGAAGGGTTGATGTTAGTAACCTGAAAAACGTTTTGGAAAATATGAAAATCATGCTTCCAGATAAGGAACTTAAAGATTTGTCACAAAACCTACCAGTTGATGGTGAGCAATATAGACAGTATTAGACCTTTTGAGGAAATTTTATTTATAGGCTTATGCATGAGAATTCCTGAGGCTAGATCTGTTTGGGTGCTAATATGACTTTTTATAACTCAGGGAAGAACTCAGTCCTAACGTAAGAACACATTTTAATTTAGTGTATTTTCACTAATTTCGGGGTACATGGTATATGTCTTAGAGTGAGTTAAAATAAGTCTGTCATTGAAAGAAGCTAGACAGCTTATTAACCACTGAGAAGGATCATTAATTTCAGATTAATTACATAATTTTAGTAACTTTTTTATTTTTTATTTTTGTGAGTACATAGTATAATAACATAGGAAAGTCTTTTCATCCAGCTATACATTTCTCTATAACTTTGTGATGTACCAACTTCCCGATCCCTTCTTCCTGTGTTTTGGCACTGGCTCACATTATTCCTTCCTTGATCTCATCTCCTGTACTTTAGAAATCATAACCAGCAATATTTTACCTTCTTTGTTAACCTTCCAGTTCTCTTGTTCCCAAGAAATGTACCTCATCTTCATCAAAAATACTAGTTCCTGGATTTCTCCATCTCCTTTCAATATACAAACTGTTTCCTAACTTCTTTCATTGTCAAACTACTCTCTCTGTCATTCCTGCTGTATAAAACCCCCAAATTTTGATCAACCCAGTCATTCAGATCTCCACTTCTATTGCTGACCTTGATAAAGAAAATAATGTAAATTTGCAGGTTACTGCATCCCCAAATTCATTTTCTCCTAGATAATAGAAGGACCTAAGAACATTTTAACTCTATGTTTCCCCTTCCCCATATTAGTGTTCTTTATGTCATTCATGCTATCTTGTTTTGTTTTAATTCAGCAAACCTGTATCAGTAGTAATGTTTTATAAAGTCACCATTTATTCAGATTTACCCAAATGTTTACCTATTTTTTGCTCTTCATTTTTTCTTTTACTTCAGGCCTTCCCTTTGGGATCACTTTTCTTCTGCTTAAAATAATTTCCTTTATTTAGGATTTGCTAGTGACAAATACTTCTTTTTTCTTTCTGGTCTAAAAATATATTTGTTTTGCTCTTGTTTTGACAGATCTCTGGACCTAGCAGTCTAGGTAGACAGTTATTTTCTTAGATATCATTCCACTGTCTTCTGCTTTCTAATGTTTATTTTTCCTGAGAGAGTAATCTTTTTGTTGTTGTTGTTGCTGCTGCTGCTGCTGCTTTAAGACATTTGTCTTAGGTTTTGAAGTTTCACTATGGAAGACGGAAATGTATTTGTTTTTATTTATCCTCCTTGGGATTCACTGGGCTTTTTGAGTCTGACAATTGGAATCTTTCATCAGATCTGAAAAATTATTAGCCATCATCTCTTCCATTGTTGTCTTTATTCCGTGGGTTTGTTTCTTCTGTAACTCTGATTAAATGTAAGGTAAACCTTATTGCTGTGTCCTCCATGGCCCTTAACATCTCTTCACTATTTTCCATATTGTTTTCTTTCTGTGCTCCATAGGAGTTTTATGTAATACATTGTTCTATATATAGCACCCCCAAAGTGCAAATCTGCTACCTAACTGAATGGAAAATGTGTTTTGGAAACTACCCCAAAAGAAGAATGGGATTGCATAATAATAAATAACATAACCTTTTGACCAGGTGCAGTGACTCATGCCTGTAATCCTACCACTTTGGGAGGTTGAGGCAGGCGGATCACCTGAGGCCAGGAGATTGAGACCAGCCTGGCCAACATGGCAAAACCCCATTTCTGCTAAAAATATAAAAATTAGTCAGGTGTTGTGGTGCATGCCTATAATCCCAGTTACTTGGGTGGTTAAGGCACAAGAATTGCTTGAGCCAGGGAGGCGAAGGTTGCAGTGAGCCAAGATTGCACCACTGCTCTCCAGCCTGGGTAACAGAGTGAGACTCTGTCTGGAAAAAAATAAAAAATAAAAATAACCCTTTATGGCAAGAAAATACCAAAATACCAATAATGTGCATAGTTTCTAGCTTTCTTCTTACCCCAAAATATATTGCATCTGCAACTTTGAAAAAATACGATGATTTGAGAGCTACTTGTACCATTGTAATATGTTCCAATCCACCATTTAATGTAAAGTATTTAATACTGCTATGTATAAAGTCTTATGCTAGTTGCTGGGTTAGGATGTCTGGATGGGATACAGAATAAGTAGATACATTCTTTTTATTTAAAAGCACTTTTATTTATTTTTGAGTATGTAATGAACATATCTTTGAGTATATAATGAACATATTTACTAGAAAATAAGTACAATAGGGGGATGTTGGCATGGGGCAGTGTTCAATGGGGAAATAGCTTAAGGTTCCAAACAGAAATGTTTTCATCTTGTTCCTAGGAATTGGTAGTACGTAGTGTAAGGAGACCATGCCCAAGGGAGTAGATGTTCCACAGTGTATAAAGTTTGAGATCTTAAAAGAGAGAAGGAGAGAATAATTGATGAAATTAATAGTTAACATTTTTGTAATTTTCCCTATTTTATACTTATCTATGTATGTTATTAGGCTATAATTTAAAACAAATCATAAAGAAAATGATTCCTTTGCTCTGACAGTCTTTTTGAATCAGCACACAGTTATGTTTGTCTGCATTTTTGGATTGTTTTTTAGCTTCTGGGATGACTGATCTGCATAAACTACTAAAAGAAGTAAATAAATTCACAGGTGAGCAAGACATTTTGTGAAAAGATATAAAACCAAAATGCAAATACTTCACTTTCACATACATATTTAAAATTGTGTTTTCTTATTCTATCATTGACTAATTAACTTCTACTTTTTTAGTGATTAAAACTTGGTTTTAATAGTGAAGATTTCACTGAATTATTTATGTTTTTGCTACAACTTTGTGGTGCTGCACCTCTATAACAAGTCTTACACTCTGAAACCTTGATTTTGTGATGCATTTCACTGTGATTAAATAGGCTACACATGTGTTCATTCATTCATTCAAAATGCTTGCTAAGCACCTACTGTAACCCAGTAAATGTTAAGGTGAAACTTTGACACGTATACAAATAATGTAGTCAGTGAGACTAATCTATCTCATAATTCAGGCAAAGCAAAAGTAACACAGATTTCACCTAATGGTAATATGATTCAGATTACATAACAGCTTATGCATATATATTCTTTTTAGGGTTTTTTGATTTGTTTGCTTTTTTTTTTTTAATTATACTCTAAGTTCTAGAGTACATGTGCATAACGTGCAGGTTTGTTACATATGTATACTTGTGCCATGTTGGTGTGCTGCACCCATCAACTCATCAGCACCCATCAACTCGTCATTTACATCAGGTATAACTCCCAATGCCATCCCTCCCCCCTCCCCCCTCCCCATAATAGGCCCCGGTGTGTGATGTTCATACATATTTAGATCACTGAGCATCTTGTACATCCCCTTACTATGAGCTGGGTTAAATTCTCTAAGTTATTAAGAGCATTATAAATAAGGATCTTATTTAGATTTTAAGAAATAATTTCCATTTCCTGTGCTCTTCATCTGAAAGCTGTAGATAATACTATACAAGCATAAACACTTTTCATCACTTTGAGTCAGTAGGCAATTCTTACGTGTCTCTCCATTCCCATCTTTTACAAGGAGGAAAAATTCAAGCCAAGGACATACAAAAAGTACTGGGAGACATGGGAATAGAGCTCACAAATAGGGAACTCTGGAACCTGATGAAAATGTTGCCAATTACTGGTAGGTATTTTATGCACTACTATGATATATATTTCTGTGCTAGTGTGGACTTAAATGTGAGAATATCATAAAAATGGGCCCCTCTGATTTCCTATAAAAAGACAGAAAGAGTCCGGGCATGGTGGTAATCCCAGCACTCTGGGAGGCCAAGGCGGGCAAATTACCTGATGCCAGGAGTTTAAGACCAACCTGGCCAACATGGTGAAACCCCGTCCCTACTAAAAATTACAAAAATTAGCCAGGCGTGGTGGTGTGTGCCTGTAATCCCAGTTACTCAGGAGGCTGAGGCAGGAGAGTCACTTGAACCACAGAGGCGGAGGTTGCAGTGAGCCGAGATCGTGCCACTGCACTCCAGCCTGCACAATGCAGTGAGACGTCATCAAAAAAAAAAAAGATTAACCTCTGGTTGTAAATATATTATGCATTTGACATTTAAATTTTTAGTTTTGAGAGGCTGTCATATCTTCAAACCTGAGTCCTGCCATTAAGAGTATCATTACCCTGAGATTAAATAAAGCTTAAGGAGGCCAAAGAGAAAAGAAAGCTGAATTAGTTAGTAGCAGAGAGAAGGAAAAGGGAAAAAGCAGAGTGGGGAAAAGGCACATCTGTTTCACATCTGTTAAGAATGAATGGACTGTCCACATTAAGAATTTTATTCTCATCTTATTTTTGGACTTAGTTATGAAGAGGTGTGGTTGTAGGAAATGTAGAAATGCAAATTAAGAAAGTACTTTTTTAAAATCTGCATTTAAAAATTGTGGCTGGGCATGGTGGCTCACACCTGTAATCCCAGCACTTTGGGAGGCCAAGGTGGGCGATCACCTGAGGTCAGGAGTTCGAGACTAGCCTGGCCAACATGGCAAAACCCCATCTCTACTAAAAATACAAAAATTAGCTGGGCATGGTAGCACATGCCTATAATCCCAGCTACTTAGGAGGCTGAGGTGGAAGAATCGCTTGAACCTGAGAGGCAGAGGTTGCAGTGAGCTGAGATTGCGCCACTGCCCTCTAGCCTGGGCAACAGAGTGAGATTCCATCTCTTTCTCTCTCTCTCTCTCTCTCTCTGTCTCTCTCTCCATATATATATGTGTGTGTATATATATATATGTGTTCTTTCTACTCTTTTTTTTACTGTCTCTGTAATTTTTTCTTTGATCTTAACTGTGCCTTATTTTACAGATGATGGAAAGGTATATAAAAATATATTGCTTGATAATATAAAATCATTTCCTGGTAAGTAAAAAACCCAATAAGGCAAGTAAAACTATGACTTGTAAGCTTTACCTTAACTATTAAAAGACCTTATCATTAGATAACAATTAGATTATCTATTTTATTGTCACATTAGCCTATAGGTCTTAGATACAACTATATTTAATGTGATAATTTATACTTTGCAAAAGTTTTAAATTCTATTTGCTGTCCAGAGCTCTAATTCTTATCTAACATAATTCATCAAGTTCATTTAAAAAAAACATGTAATTTATAATGTAAAAAAGTAGTACATATAATTAGTATATAATAAAATTATATATTATGTAATATATAGTTTTCTTCTAAATACACCTTTTTTCCAAAGTATAGAAAGCTTCCCCTGAAACAAGAGTGGCAAAACATATTATATTCCTGGCTTCCACAGTAAGGCTTTATTTATGTAGCCCTGAACAGTTTTTTAAAAAAATTATTACTGGCAATGGATTTGTTCTATTTGATTTTTATTGGTGACTGAATATAACCAGTATTTTTCTTAGCTATCAGTTCCTATATTTTATCACCTCCTTCTTTCCTAAGGTGGGAAGTGCAATGTCTCTAAAATTGGTACTATCCTGGAAAACATGGGTTATGAGCTGGAAGATGAGGAAATTGAATACCTGCAGAACCACCTGCCAACTACTGGTGAGCATGTCATTGTATCTTCAAGGAAACTCTGAGATCCTGTAATAAAATTTCAAAATGTATTCATCTAAAAAAATCTATTATCTCAGACTTTTTGCTTGGTAGATCTTCCTGCATCCCTTTATTTTGAGCCTATGTGTGTCTCTGCACGTGAGATGGGTCTCCTGACTACAGCACACTGATGGGTCTTGACTCTTTATCCAATTTGCCAGTCTGTGTCTTTTAATTGGGGTATTTAGCCCGTTTACATTTAAGGTTAATATTGTTATGTGTGAATTTGATCCTGTCATTATGATGTTAGCTGGCTATTTTGCCTGTTAATTGATGCAGTTTCTTCATAGCATCGATGGTCTTTACAATTTGGCACGTTTTTACAGTGGCTGGTACCAGTTGTTCCTTTCCAGCATGTTGTTTTGATCATATAAAAAGTCTAGTTTTTAAAATCCTATGAAAAAGAAATAGAAAATGCATCCTCCTCTCTGGTAAGCAACACAGTGGCTTTCCTTAGTATTATAGTGTATTGTGTGGGTCTGAGATTGTGAATGATATGTTGAATTAAAAGCCAATTATCTAAGATCCTTACTGTACTATAAAAATGTATTACCACTATCTCTCTTCTTTCTGATCCAAAGCACACAGATTCAGAATTTTATGTATAGTCTTGCTTTATTTAATATGTCTTTTTACTAGAAATATTTGCTAATATAAATCAGGTCAGTCTTACCCACTTGAACAGATATTTTGCAAGACTATTTGCACAAAATAATATTAATTTAATTAATAAGAACACAGAATTGTATACTAAGTAAGTAGCTAATACAGGAAACTGGCCAATCCTCTTTCTCTTATTCTCATCCTGTCATATTCCTGGTAATATAAACTAATCACCTCTATTGAAATAGCCACAGACAATAATTATCAAGTATTAACTGCCTACTATATACCAAAAACAATAATCAGTACTTGACGTATGTTAATAGTCCTCAAAATAACTGCAAAGTAGATTATCATCCTAATTTATCTGATGTGGAAATGGAAAATCAGTCACAAAGGTTAATTGATTTGCCTGAGGCCATGTGGCCACTAAATGGAAAAGTAAAGATGGCAATTCAGATCTATATAACTTGAAAGGTTTGCGCTTTCTACCAAATCATACTGTCTCACATAAGAGAGGTAAGCAGAGCCACACAGACTATGATAGGAATGATTCTTTAAGGAGGTTGTGTGATGTGGACCTTGAGATGAGAATTATCAACTAGTAAGTACACAAATTAAATGAGAGTCAGCAAAGATTGGAAATCTTTGTGGCCAGGGAGTCAGAAGCATGGAGAAAGGGCTGAGTAACAGTTGCATGTAGAAGTAGCCATGATCCTTTAGGTAGGTAAATACACCAATATTATAGAATATATTTCTTTTAAATCCTGTAATAATAAAGTGGTCAAACATAGGGTTATTCCTGGATTCTAAAGTGGGACAGGCCAAGTGGAAAGGAAGTCAAAGCAATGCTTTCAAAATTTCCTGGAACCATTGTGTATAGAATTTTATATACTTTAATTTCTTCTTCTGTGCTATATAATTATCATATTTGGAACTTCATTCTTGACTACCATGATCATCTGGGCATGAAAATGAATACATTTATAGAACAAATCAGGGCAAACTTCTGAATGTTAATGTTGTAGTCTACAATGTAAGGTGTTAATAGCATATTTTCTGGGTCTGAGTCATTATGGCTAGTCTCATTTGTACTTTATCTTACAGATGAAAAGAAGGTTAAACTGAATAAGGTCATGGAAAATGTAGAGTCGTTTACAGGTGAGTGAAAAATTATAGGTAGGCTGGGCACAGTGGCTCACACCTATGATTCCAGCACTTTGGGAGGCCGAGGCAGATGGATCACTTGAGCTCAGGAGTTCGAGACCAGCCTGGCCAATGTGGTGAAACCCCGTCTCTACTAAAAATATAAAAAATTAGCTGGGACTGGTGGTGCATGCCTGTAATCCCAGCTACTTAGGAGAGTGAGGTGGGAGAATCGCTGGAACCCGGGGGTCAGAGGTTACAGTGAGCCAAGATCTCACCACTGCACTCCAGCATGGATGACAGAGCAAGACTCTATCTCAAAAAAAAAAAAAAAAAAAAGTTATAGGGAAAATTGTTGTAAATAGCTATATTCTTTTTTTTTTTAATTATACTTTAAGTTCTAGGGTACATGTGGATAACGTGCAGGTTTGTTACATATGTATACTTGTGCCATGTTGGCGTGCTGCACCCATCAACTCGTCAGCACCCATCAACACGTCATTTACATCACGTATAACTCCCAATGCAATCCCTCCCCCATCCCCCCTCCCCATAATAGGCCCCAGTGTATGATGTTCCCCTTCCCGAGTCCAAGTGATCTCATTGTTCAGTTCCCACCTATGAGTGAGAACATGCGGTGTTTGTTTTTCTGTTCTTGTGATAGTTTGCTGAGAATGATGGTTTCCAGCTGCATCCATGTCCCTACAAAGGACACAAACTCATCCTTTTTTATGGCTGCATAGTATTCCATGGTGTATATGTGCCACATTTTCTTAATCCAGTCTGTCACTGATGGACATTTGGGTTGATTCCAAGTCTTTGCTATTGTGAATAGTGCTGCAGTAAACATACGTGTGCATATGTCTTTATAGCAGCATGATTTATAATCCTTTGGGTATATACCCAGTAATGGGATGGCTGGGTCATATGGTACTTCTAGTTCTAGATCCTTGAGGAATCGCCATACTGTTTTCCATAATGGTTGAACTAGTTTACAATCCCACCAACAGTGTAAAAGTGTTCCTATTTCTCCACATCCTCTCCAGCACCTGTGGTTTCCTGACTGTTTAATGATTGCCATTCTAACTGGTGTGAGATGGTATCTCATTGTGGTTTTGATTTGCATTTCTCTGATGGCCAGTGATGATGAGCATTTTTTCATGTGTCTGTTGGCTGTATGAATGTCTTCTTTTGAGAAGTGTCTGTTCATATCCTTTGCCCACTTTTTGATGGGGTTGTTTGTTTTTTTCTTGTAAATTTGTTTGAGTTCTTTGTAAGTTCTGGATATTAGCCCTTTGTCAGATGAGTAGATTGCAAAAATGTTCTCCCATTCTGTAGGTTGCCTGTTCACTCTGATGGTAGTTTCTTTTGCTGTGCAGAAGCTCTTTAGTTTAATTAGATCCCATTTGTCAATTTTGGCTTTTGTTGCCGTTGCTTTTGGTGTTTTAGACATGAAGTCCTTGCCCATGCCTATGTTCTGAATGGTATTACCTAGATTTTCTTCTAGGGTTTTTATGGTATTAGATCTAACATTTAAGTATCTGATCCATCTTGAATTAATTTTTGTATAAGGAGTAAGGAAAGGATCCAGTTTCAGCTTTCTACTTATGGCTAGCCAATTTTTCCAGCACCATTTATTAAATAGGGAATCCTTTCCCCATTTCTTGTTTTTCTCAGGTTTGTCAAAGATCAGATGGCTGTAGATGTGTGGTATTATTTCTGAGGACTCTGTTCTGTCTCATTGGTCTATATCTCTGTTTTGGTACCAGTACCATGCTGTTTTGGTTACTGTAGACTTGTAGTATAGTTTGAAGTCAGGTAATGTGATGCCTCCAGCTTTGTTCTTTTGACTTAGGATTGTCTTGGCGATGCAGGCTCTTTTTTGGTTCCATATGAACTTTAAAGTAGTTTTTTCCAATTCTGTGAAGAAACTCATTGGTAGCTTGATGGGGATGGCGTTGAATCTATAAATTACCTTGGACAGTATGGCCATTTTCACGATATTGATTCTTCCTATCCATGAGCATGGTATGTTCTTCCATTTGGTTGTGTCCTCTTTTATTTCACTGAGCAGTGGTTTGTAGTTTTCCTTGAAGAGGTCCTTTACATCCCTTGTAAGTTGGATTCCTAGGTATTTCTTTCTCCTTGAAGCAATTGTGAATGGAAGTTCATTCATGATTTGGCTCTCTTTTTGTCTGTTACTGGTGTATAAGAATGCTTGTGATTTTTGCACTTTAATTTTGTATCCTGAGACTTTGCTGAAGTTTCTTATCAGCTTAAGGAGATTTTGGGCTGAGACAATGGGGTTTTCTAAATACACAATCATGTCATCTGCAAACAGGGACAATTTGACTTCTTCTTTTCCTAACTGAATACCCTTGATTTCTTTCTCTTGCCTGATTGCCCTAGCCAGAACTTCCAACACTATGTTGAATAGGAGTGGTGAGAGAGGGCATCCCTGTCTTGTGCCAGTTTTCAAAGGGAATTTTTCCAGTTTTTGCCCATTCAGTATGATATTGGCTGTGGGTTTGTCATAAATAGCTCTTATTATTTTGAGATACGTTCCATCAATACCGAATTTATTGAGAGTTTTTAGCATGAAGGGCTGTTGAATTTTGTCAAAGGCCTTTTCTGCATCTATCGAGATAATCATGTGGTTTTTGTCTTTGGTTCTGTGTTTAAGCTGGATTACGTTTATTGATTTGCGTATGTTGAACCAGCCTTGCATCCCAGGGATGAAGCCCACTTGATCATGGTGGATAAGCTTTTTGATGTGCTGCTGGATCCGATTTGCCAGTATTTTATTGAGGATTTTTGCATCGATGTTCATCAGGGATATTGGTCTAAAATTCTCTTTTTTTGTTGTGTCTCTGCCAGGCTTTGGTATCAGGATGATGTTGGCCTCATAAAATGAGTTAGGGAGGATTCCCTCTTTTTCTATTGATTGGAATAGTTTCAGAAGGAATGGTACCAGCTCCTCCTTGTACCTCTGGTAGAATTCAGCTGTGAATCCATCTGGTCCTGGACTTTTTTTCTTTGGTAGGCTATTAATTATTGCCTCAATTTCAGAGCCTGCTATTGGTCTATTCAGGAATTGCGCTTCTTCCTGGTTTAGTCTTGGGAGAGTGTAAGTGTCCAGGAAATTATCCATTTCTTCTAGATTTTCTAGTTTATTTGCGTAGAGGTGTTTATAGTATTCTCTGATGGTAGTTTGTATTTCTGTGGGGTCGGTGGTGATATCCCCTTTATCATTTTTTATTGCGTCTATTTGATTCTTCTCTCTTTTCTTCTTTATTAGTCTTGCTAGTGGTCTATCAATTTTGTTGATCTTTTCAAAAAACCAACTCCTGGATTCATTGATTTTTTTAAAGGGTTTTTTGTGTCTCTATCTCCTTCAGTTCTGCTCTGATCTTAGTTATTTCTTGCCTTCTGCTAGCTTTTGAATGTGTTTGTTCTTGCTTCTCTGGTTCTTTCAATTGTGATGTTAGAGTGTCAATTTTAGATCTTTCCAGCTTTCTCTTGTGGGCATTTAGTGCTATAAATTTCCCTCTACACACTGCTTTAAATGTGTCCCAGAGATTCTGGTATGTTGTATCTTTGTTCTCATTGGTTTCAAAGAACATCTTTATTTCTGCCTTCATTTCATTATGTACCCAGTAGTCATTCAGGAGCAGGTTATTCAGTTTCCATGTAGTTGAGTGGTTTTGATTGAGTTTCTTAGTCCTGAGTTCTAGTTTGATTGCACTGTGGTCTGAGAGACAGTTTGTTATAATTTCTGTTCTTGTACATTTGCTGAGGAGTGCTTTACTTCCAATTCTGTGGTCAATTTTGGAATAAGTGTGATGTGGTGCTGAGTAGAATGTATATTCTGTTGATTTGGGGTGGAGAGTTCTGTAGATGTCTATTAGGTCTGCTTGCTGCAGAGATGAGTTCAATTCCTGGATATCCTTGTTAATTTTCTGTCTCGTTGATCTGTCTAATGTTGACAGTGGGGTGTTGAAGTCTCCCATGATTATTGTATGGGAGTCTAAGTCTCTTTGTAAGTCTTTAAGGACTTGTTTTATGCATCTGGGTGCTCCTGTATTGGGTGCATATATATTTAGGATAGTTAGCTCTTCCTGTTGAATTGATCCTTTTAGCATTATGTAATGGCCTTCTTTGTCTCTTTTGATCTTTGATGGTTTAAAGTCTGTTTTATCAGAGACTAGTATTGCAACCCCTGCTTTTTTTTGTTCTCCATTTGCTTGGTAGATCTTCCTCCATCCCTTTATTTTGAGTCTATGTATGTCTCTGCATGTGAGATGGGTCTCCTGAATACAGCAAACTGATGGGTCTTGACTCTTTATCCAGTTTGCCAGTCTGTGTCTTTTAATTGGAGCATTTAGTCCATTTACATTTAAGGTTAATATTGTTATGTGTGAACTTGATCCTGCCATTATGATAGTAACTGGTTATTTTGCTCGTTAGTTGATGCAGTTTCTTCCTAGCCTCGATGGTCTTTACATTTTGGCATGTTTTTGCAATGGCTGGTATCGGTTGTTCCTTTCCATGTTTAGTGCTTCCTTCAGGTTCTCTTGTAAGGCAGGCCTGGTGTTGACAAAATCTCTAAGCATTTGCTTATCTGTAAAGGATGTTATTTCTTCTTCACTTATGAAACTTAGTTTGGCTGGATATGAAATTCTGGGTTTAAAATTCTTTTCTTTAAGAATGTTGAATATTGGCCCCCACTGTCTTCTGGCTTGTAGAGTTTCTGCTGAGAGATCTGCTGTTAGTCTGATGGGCTTCCCTTTGTGGGTAACCCGACCTTTCTCTCTGGCTGCCCTTAAGATTTTTTCCTTCATTTCAACTTTGGTGAATCTGGCAATTATGTGTCTTGGAGTTGCTCTTCTCGAGGAGTATCTTTGTGGCGTTCTCTGTATTTCCTGGATTTGAATGTTGGCCTGCCCTACTAGGTTGGGAAAGTTCTCCTGGATGATATCCTGAAGAGTGTTTTCCAACTTGGTTCCATTTTCCCCCTCACTTTCAGGCACCCCAATCAGATGTAGATTTGGTCTTTTTACATAATCCCATACTTCTTGCAGGCTTTGTTCATTTCTTTTTCTTCTTTTTTCTTTTGGTTTCTCTTCTCACTTCATTTCATTCATTTGATCCTCAATCGCTGATAGTCTTTCTTCCAGTTGATCAAGTCGGTTACTGAAGCTTGTGCATTTGTCACGTATTTCTCGTGTCATGGTTTTCATCTCTGTGTATTCATTTATGGCCTTCTCTGCATTAATTATTCTAGTTATCAATTCTTCCACTCTTTTTTCAAGATTTTTAGTTTCTTTGTGCTGGGTATGTAATTCCTTCTTTAGCTCTGAGAAGTTTGATGGACTGAAGCCTTCTTCTCTCATCTCGTCAAAGTCATTCTCCGTCCAGCTTTGATCCGTTGCTGGCAATGAGCTGTGTTCCTTTGCAGGGGCGATGCGCTCTTATTTTTTGAATTTCCAACTTTTCTGCCCTGCTTTTTCCCCGTCTTTGTGGTTTTACCTGCCTCTGGTCTTTGATGATGGTGACGTACTGATGGGGTTTTGGTGTGGGTGTCCTTCCTGTTTGTTAGTTTTCCTTGTAACAGTTAGGACCCTCAGCTGTAGGTCTGTTGGAGATTGCTTGAGGTCCACTCCAGACCCTGTTTGCCTGGGTATCAGCAGCAGAGGCTGCAGAAGATAGAATATTGCTGAACAGCGAGTGTACCTGTCTGATTCTTGCTTTGGAAGCTTCCTCTCAGGGGTGTACTCCACCATGTGAGGTGTGGGGTGTTGGTCTGCCCCTAGTTGGGGATGTCTCCCAGTTAGGCTACTCAGGGGTCAGGGACCCACTTGAGCAGGCAGTCTCTCCGTTCTCAGATCTCAACCTCCGTGTTGGGAGATCCACTGCTCTCTTCAAAGCTGTCAGACAGAGTCGTTTGTATCTGCAGAGGTTTCAGCTGCTTTTTGTTGTTGTTGTTGTTGTTGTTGTTGTTTAGCTGTGCCCTGTCCCCAGAGGTGGAGTCTACAGAGACAGGCAGGACTCCTTGAGCTGCTGTGAGCTCCACCCAGTTCGAGCTTCCTAGCTGCTTTGTTTATCTACTTAAGCCTCAGCAATGGCAGGCGCCCCTCCCCCAGCCTCGCTGCTGCCTTGCGGTTAGATGGCAGACTGCTGTGCTAGCAATGAGGGATGCTCAGTGGGTGTGGGACCCTCCCGGCCAGGTGTGGGATATAGTCACCTGGTGTGTCCGTTTGCTAAGATCCTTGGTAGAGCGCAGTATTGGGGTGGGAGTTACCCGATTTTCCAGGTGTTGTGGGTCTCAGTTCCCCTGGCTAGGAAAAGGGATTCCCTTCCCCCTTGCGCTTCCCAGGTGAGGCAATGCCTCGCCCTGCTTCAGCTCTCGCTGGTCGGGCTGCAGGAGCTGACCAGCATTGATTGTCAGGCACTCCCTAGTGAGATAAACCCAGTACCTCAGTTGAAAATGCAGAAATCACCTGTCTTCTGTGTCGCTGGCGCTGGGAGTTGGAGACTGGAGCTGTTCCTATTCAGCCATCTTGCTCCGTCCAATAGCTATATTCTAATACTTTTTCTGTTATACCTTTAAATACTCTATTTCCATCATACTGACATTGACTTGTTAGTCCTTTTAGTATATTATGGTATCTTTTATCCAATAACCCAGGATAGTTTTTGATTATATACTTTTTGAGCAAAACTACCAAATTATAAAGTCTTGGTAAAATACCTTATATCTTCTGCATTTTTTTCAATAATGAACATCACTTTTCCATTGTTTAAACAGATAGAAATCTAGATTACCATATAATTGGTGAAACAAAACGTTGTCATAATTCTTTTTAGGAATAATTCATCTTATCACATAGGCAAATATGGATGCTACCTATCTTCAAAGAATTATTTACATAGTCATTTATACAGTAGTCATAGATATATACCTTTATACAAGCCCCATTTCAGAGTGTTGATTTATCCTGTTATTATTAGAGCATTCAAAAGGTATTTTCCTCTCTAGAATTTTGAGATTGAGTTATATTTCTGACATCCCCTTAGAATTTTGACTCAGCATTTTGACTATTTAAGCCTGCAATTAAACTTAGATGGCATTCATAGTTTAAAATCATTTGTCACTCACTCAGATTTTTCATCATCTTTTCCATCTTTTCAAAGGAACCAAGATTAATACTAATGAAGTAGATGATATTCTGAAAAACATAGGGATAGAACTCACACCTAAGGAACGCTGGAAACTGCTAAAAACTCTGCCAGTTACTTGTGAGCATTTCTGATACAGTTTGGCCTTTGGGGGAACTTAGTTTAGGTGATGGTATTGGGGGAGGTGAGAATCATTAAACATTTATTCCACCTATATTTATATTCAACATATTTACTGACTACTTCTTAGATAATGAGATTAAAGACAAAAGTCCTTGCTCTCATGAAGACTATTATGGTGATGGAGCTTACTTATTGGGACTGAGCTTGAAAACTTTGTAAATGAATAAGGATTTTTTAATTTATTAAGCATTTTTAATTTAGTTTATTACCTTGGGAATGTCTGGAAGTCCTAAAGCATAAAGAAAAGGGAGAAAAAAGAGAAGTCATATAATAATAGCAGGATAAAAAGAGTCAAGGCAGAGAGATAGTTTCAGCATAGTAAGATGGATAAGTTTGGAACTTTACTCCTTCACTTTATGCTTAAAGCCAAGGAAGAGAAGGATGTGTGGATGTGAAACTGGTTAAATCTATAAGACAAATCATGTAAGATTGTTGTCTTTATGAAATAATAGTCTATATATTCTTGTTATGAACTGCTGTATCACTTTCTCTATGACATCAATTATGCCTTGTCTTATAGCTGATGGAAAGGTGTGTCGCAATCTGTTACTAGATCGTTTAAAGACTTTCCAAGGTGAGTAATATGTGGAATAAGAAGTTAAGTAAAATTGAAATCTTAAGCTTTATATTTCCTTTTCGAAAGTCCCTTTACAAAGAATAAAAACAGATACTTCTTAAAAGAAGACATACATGTAGCTGGCAAACATATGAAAAAATGCTCAACATCACTAATCATTAAAGAAATGTAAGTCAAAACCACAATAAGATACCATCTTACACCAGTCAGAATGGCTTTTCTTAAAAAGACAAAAAATAACAGATGTTGATGATGCTGTGGAGAAAAGGGAACAAATGTAATTAGTTCAGCCACTGTGGAGAGCAGTTTGGAGATTTCTCAGAGAATTGGGGGTTAAACTACCATCTGACCCAGAAATCCCACTACTGGGTATATACCCAAAGGAAAATAAGTCATTCTACCAAAAAGACACATACACTTGTAAGTTCATCACAGCATATTTGCAACACCAAAGACATGGAATCAACCTAGATACCTATCAGTAGTAGACTAGATAAAGAAAATGTGGTATATATACACCATGAAATACTATGCATCCATAAAAAAGAACAAAATCCTGCCCTTTGCAGCAACATGGGTGTAGCTGGAAGCTATTATTCTAAGCAAATTAACACAGAGACAGAAAAACAAAATACTGCATATTATCGCTTATAAGTGGGAGCTTACCATTGACTATACCTGGACATAAAGATGAGAACAATAGACACTGGGCACTGGGGACTATTAGGAAGGGTAGAGGAGGTAGGCCAGGAGGGGTCAAGGTTTGAAAAGCTGTCTGTTAAGTACTATGCACACTACCTAGGTGATGGGATCATTTATACAACAAACCTCAGCAACACACAATTTACCGATGTAAGAAAGCAGCAAATGTACCCCTGAACCTAAAAGTTGAAAAAAAATTTTTTTAATTGAAAATCCTTTTAATTACTTAATGATAGCAATAGCTAATTTCTAATGAGTGGTGTACCAGGCGCTATTCCAAATACTTTACATATATTTATTTAATTCTCACAGAAATACTATGAGGTAGGTACTTTTATTATCACCATTTCACAGATGAGAGGTGTTGATTCACTGTGCTATATTTAACAGTTAGTTTACTAAAGTTTTTCTTTCCTTTTATGACTTATAGCTTAAGCTCAGATAAATACTAAATTTGTACAGACAATTTACTGTTATAATGGTAGGTTTCAAATTCAGTGGCTGCTATGACGGCTGTCGTTTCTAACATATTTCTCCACAATGAGTAATAGCTGAAGAATGAATAATAAACCTTATTCATTCTCTTTGTTTCAAATGTCTACTTAAAATGTTAACAGGGTATCATGCAACAAGTATAAGGAGCTGTTCTTTTTCCTCATATCCATACCCAATCCCCTGCCACCTTGGTTTTGTATTCTCTCTGAACATCTGCACTGTGACTTTGCTTTTCTCCCTCTCACTGGAGTTTAGGGCATATACCTAAGTAGAATTTTTAAGGTTAACGTATTATTTCACATTTTTCTTATTTCACATATTTTTTCTTAAGGAGGGAAGGTCTTTGAAAATAAACTAGAAACCATTCTGGAAAACATGAACTACAAACTTGAAAATGAAGAAATGAAAGATCTACGGAACCATTTGAAAATTGATGGTATTTCATTTACCATTTATCACTTTCTTTCTGAAGAATCTTTAAAATCCTCTCATAAAACCTCTGAGAGTTTGCTTATTCAATTTCACTTAGAAAGTAAGGAGGCCAGGGCTGGGCACAGTGGATGACACCTGTGATCCCAGCACTTTGGGAGGCCGAGGCAGGCAGATCACCTGAGGTCAGAAGTTCAAGACCAACTGAGCCAACATGGTGAAACCCCGTCTCTACTAAAAATACAAAAATTAGCCGGATATAGTGGACCAGGCCTATAATCCCAGCTACTTGGGAGACTGAGGCAGGAGAATCACTTGAACCCAGAAGGCAGAGGTCACAGTGAGCCCAGATTGTGCCACTGCAGTCCAGCATAGGTGATAGAGTGAGACTCCGTCTCAAAAATAAAGAAAGTAAGAAGGCCAGGCACAGTAGCTCACACCTATAATCCCAACACTTTGGGAAGCCAAGGCAGGAGGATTGCTTGAGCCCAGAAGTTTGAGGTTGCAGTGAGCTATGACTGCACCATTGCACTCCAGACTGGGTAACAGAGCAAGAGTCTGTCTCTTAAAAAAAGAAAAAGAAAATAAATAGTAAGAAGTACTTGTAGAGTTACAGTCCTCAAGGATAAAAATATGACTTCTGATTATTAATCTCAATGTTGTCAGAGAACCAATAAGGACACTGGTAGATTTAGATTTACCTAGAAAAACAAACACTTCAATGGAAGATATTGAAATAAATGTTACAAAAGGTCGGAGACTGACAAAACTAAGTGAGAAGGTAAAAAAGGTTTGGAGTTGTTCAGAAAAAAAAAAGTATTGTACAAATAGAGGTGATCATGTTTTTATTTAACAAATATGAGATGAATGTCAGAGTGGGGTAGAAATAGAGGGTAAGCGATTTCTGACTTGAGACCATTCATCTGGCATTGGACAGATATCTTTTAGGTCAAAATGACAGTGTAGGAGAAGAATTTAAGATCCAATTTAGCATTTAAAACATGGTCTTTCGAATTCTATGAGGTAGTTGAGTACAAGAAAAACACTCAAAAATTAACAAATACTCTCTCTGAAAGCAATATTAACTTAGAAAATTTTAAGAAAAAAGGTGATCTCATTCCTAATAGCAATAAAAAAAATTATTTTACCTGATTTATGCTTTGTATTTCAGACAATGGAAAGATTTTATTAAATTCTGTGATCAGTGCAGCCAATTTATTTTCTGGTGAGTGAGAAATGCTAGCAAAAAGATATAAAATCAAGATCTCTTATTATATGTAAAACTATTTTAATATATTTATTTATGGAATGCCTCAGTATTATATAAATGATACACAAGCCTTATTTCACCAAAGTATTGATGACATGCTTCTTTTTAAGAATACTGGTGAGTTTTTTTATTGCCTGCGTTTTTAGGAGTAGCTTTTCTTTTTAAAAGAAGTCTATTTTATTATAAGTATCCGGCTTGTTTCCATTGTTTTCAGAGCATGAATAAAAGCATTCTTTTGACCAGGCTTAAAGGAAATATTCTATTTTTAGCTCCTTCTTATGATGCTCTGCAGTCAGATAATCCTCATTGTGTTCTTGTTCTTCTACAATTACATCTCTTGCAAGTTGAGATATTACTGTTTTATTATAATTGTCTAAATTTAGAATCATTGTATGTGAAAATATTCACTTACGTTTCCCATCTTTTTCCAAGGTGATAAGATAAATGCCAGTGACATACAACTTTATCTAGGAAATGTAGGTATTGAATTTACAAATAAAGAAAACCAGGATCTACTGGACATAGTGCCATTTGATGGTAAGCATTTCAGACCTTGCATTCAATTTCAGAGAATCTTGAATTTATGAGTTGTACACATAAAATTCTAGAAGTATGACTGTTTAAAGTCCTATTAAAAATTAAGAGAAAATCAAGCATAGGAAGAGCCAATTCTAATATAAAATGTACTGTCTTTACCATTTATATCTTAATTTGGGAGGTAATGTCTTCTTTGGGGTATTGCTATTATGGGATAAACAATTTTAAATGTGAGACTCAGCATTTATAACAAGACTAAAGCTAAAGATAGGAAAAGATGATAAAAGAATTGTGGAAAGGAAGAAAGATGCACCTCTAAAAAAAAGAAAAGAAAAAATCTATTTCAACATGTTAGAGTTCCACTAATAGTACACCAAATACCAGAATATAGTTAACCTTGAGAAACTTATTAATTTCTTTACTTCCTTCTTTGGATTATTATTAAGATAAATTTATTAAAATTTGCTAATAAGCATTAATGTCTTTCTGAATTTCCACTTCCTTGTGAATTAAATTGAGACTTATTTTACAGATAATAAAAGGGTATATAAAGATAGGCTGATGGATGGAGTGAAGACTTACAGAGGTGAGTAAAAATCATGCTAGAAAAGATAAAACTGAGTTCTTCAAGCTTTTGTGTTTACTTTCTTAAAACCTATCTTATTTCCCAATGATTAGATTACTAATTATGTTAATATATTCTTCAAATTATGAACTGGCATTGTTACTCGTACACAATCACATTTGGGGTAATAGCCTTCACTATTTTGTCACTGTAGCAAATTTCAAATCTTACTGGTAAGAAATCTTTGGATTGTTGTATCTTTGCTGTAATTCATCAGTCTTGCTTGCTCTTTTTCCTCCTACAAATTGCTGTAGCAGTGTTTTCTGGAACACTGATGGGGAAAATTTTTCTGTTCCTGCTCCACAACTGATTCTTTTGTTCACTTCAAAGGTTTTATGATGCTTCCTGTCTGTGTTGATTGACTAAAATAAGCAAGCATTTTTCTGTCTTTAGCATAAATACAAATTTTTCTTATTCTTATCCCCTTCTTTTTTAAGGAGGAAAGGTTAATGTCAATAAAATAGATGATGCTCTTGAAAACATGAGAATCCCACTTGAGGAAGAAGAAATTGAGAAACTGTGTGAAGACTTACCTCTTGATGGTGAGCATTTCACAAATAGAGGGCCCTGTAAGAAAAAGTTTGTTTTTCTGTGAGAACATCTCAAGTATACTTATTAATTTCATGCAAAAAGTAAGAAACATATAGAGCATATAGAGACCCAATCCTAAAGAGTGAAGAAATACTGTCCGTTATTATTAACATAAGATAAAATATCAATAATTGGGCCTGGTACAGTGCCTCACACCTGTTGTCCCAGCACTTTGGGAGGCAGAGGTGGGCAGATTTCTTGAGCCCAGGAGCTCAAGACCAGCCTGGGCAACATGGCAAAATGCCATCTCTACCAAAAAATATACTACAAGAAAAATAATAATAATAATAGCCGGGTGTGGTGGTGGATGCATTTGTCTCAGCTGCTAGGGGAGCTGAGGTGGGAGGATCACCTGAGCCTGGGGAGGTCAAGGCTGCAGTGACCCATGATGGTGCCACTGCGCTCCAGCCTGGATGACTCTTTGAGACCGAATGAGACCCTCTCTCAAATATAAATGTAAATATTTATATATGTACACATAATTGTGTGTGTGTGTGTGTATATATATATATTTCCTTATATTGCTGCTACCAGAGTTTCTTTTTTTGTTTTTTTTGTTTGTTTGTTTTTGTTTTTTTATTTCACAGGTTCTGGTGCCTGGTCATCTGTTTTTTTTTTGGTTTTTTTTTAGTTTTACTTTAAGTTCTAGGGTACATGTGCACAACGTGCAGGTTTGTTACATATGTATATATGTACCATGTTGGTGTGCTGCACCCATTAACTCGTCATTTACATTAGGTATATCTCCTAATGCTATCCCTACCCCCTCACCCCACCCCATGACAGGCCCCAGTGTGTGATGTTCCCCTTCCTGTGTCCAAGTGTTCTCATTGTTCAATTCCCACCTATGAGTGAGAACACACGGTGTTTGGTTTTCTGTTCTTGCAATAGTTTGCTGAGAATGATGGTTTCCAGCTGCATCCATGTCCCTACAAAGGAAATGAACTCATCCTTTTGTATAGCTGCATAGTATTCCATGGTGTATATGTGCCACATTTTCTTAATCCAGTCTATCATTGATGGACATTTGGGTTGATTCCAAGTCTTTGCTATGTGAATAGTGCCGCAATAAACATACATGTGCATGTGTCTTTATAGCAGCATGATTTATAATCCTTTGGGTATATACCCAGTAATGGGATGGCTGGGTCAAATGATATTTCTAGTTCTAGATCCTAGAGGAATCACCATACTGTCTTCCACAATGGTGGAACTAGTGTACATCCCACGAACAGTGTAAAAGTATTCCTGTTTCTCCACATCCTCTCCAGAACCTGTTGTTTCCTGATTTTTTAATGATCGCCATTCTAACTGCTGTGAGACGGTATCTCATTGTGGTTTTGATTCACATTTCTCTGATGGCCAGTGATATTGAGCATTTTTTCATGTGTCTGTTGGCTGCATAAATGTCTTCTTTTGAGAAGTGTCTGTTCATATCCTTTGTCCACTTTTTGATGGGATTCTTTGCTTCTTTCTTGTAAATTTGTTTGAGTTCTTTGTAGGTTCTGGATATTAGCCCTTTGTCAGATGAGTAGATTGCAAAAATTTTCTCCCAATCTGAAGGTTGCCTGTTCACTCTGATGGTAGTTTCTTTTGCTGTGCAGAAGCTCTTTAGTTTAATTAGATTCAATTTCTCAATTTTGGCTTTTGTTGCCATTGCTTTTGGTGTTTTAGACATGAAGTCCTTGCCTATGCCTATGTCCTGAATGGTATTGGCTAGGTTTTCTTCTAGGGTTTTTATGGTTTTAGGTCTATCATTTAAGTGTCTAATCCATCTTGAATTAATTTTTGTATAAGATGTAAGGAAGGGATCCAGTTTCAGCTTTCTACATATGGCTAGCCATTTTCCTAGCACCATTTACTAAATATGGAATACTTTCCCCATTTCTTGTTTTTCTCAGGTTTGTCAAAGATCAGATGGTTGTAGATGTGTGGTATTATTTCTGAGGGCTCTGTTTTGTTCCATTGGTCTATATCTCTGTTTTGGTACCAGTACCATGCTGTTTTGGTTACTGTGGCCTTGTAGTCTAGTTTGAAGTCAGGTAGCATCATGCCTCCAGCTTTGTTCTTTTGGCTTAGGATTGTCTTGGCAATGTGGGATCTTTTTTGGTTCCATGTGAACTTTAAAGTAGTTTTTTCCAATTCTGTGAAGAAAGTCATTGGTAACTTAATGGGGATGGCATTGAATCTATAAATTACCTTGGGCAGTATGGCCATTTTCACGATATTGATTCTTCCTATCCATGAACATGGAATGTTCTTCCATTTGTTTGTGTCCTCTTTTATTTCGAGGAGCAGTGGTTTGTAGTTCTCCTTGAAGAGGTCCTTCACATCCCTTGTAAGTTGGATTCCTAGGTATTTTATTCTCTTTGAAGCAATTGTGAATGGGAGTTCACTCATGATTTGGCTCTCTGTTTGTCTCTTATTGGTGTATAGGAATGCTTGTGATTTTTGCATATTGATTTTGTATCCCGAGACTTTGCTGAAGTTGCTTATCAGCTTAAGGAGATTTTGGGCTGAGATGATGGGGTTTTCTAAATATACAATCATATGATTTGCACACAGGGACAATTTGATTTCCTCTTTTCCTAACTGAATACCCTTTATTTCTTTCTCTTGCCCGATTGCCCTGGCCAGAACTTCCAACACTATGTTGAATAGGAGTGGTGAGAGAGGGCATCCTTGTCTTGTGCCAGTTTTCAAAGGGAATGCTTCCAGTTTTTGCTCTTTCAGTATGATATTGGCTGTGGGTTTGTCATAAATAGCACTTATTTTGAGATACGTCCCACCAATACTGAATTTATTGAGAGTTTTTAGCATGAAGGGCTGTTGAATTTTGTCAAGGGCCTTTTCTGCATCTATTTAGATAATCATGTGGTTTTTGTCTTTGGTTCTGTTTATGTGATTAATTACGTTTATTGATTTGCGTATGTTGAACCAGCCTTGCATCCCAGGGATGAAGCCCACTTGATCGTGGTGAATAAGCTTTTTGATGTGCTGCTGGATTCAGTTTGCCAGTATTTTATTGAGGATTTTTGCATCCATATTCATCAGGGATATTGGTCTAAAATTCTCTTTTTTGTGTTGTGTCTCTGCCAGGCTTTGGTATCAAGATGATGTTGGCCTCATAAAATGAGTTAGGGATGATTCCCTCTTTTTCTATTTATTGGAATAGTTTCAGAAGGAATGGTACCAGCTCCTCCTTGTACTTCTGGTAGAATTTGACTGTGAATCCATCTGGTCCTGGACTTTTTTTGTTGGTAGACTATTAATTATTGCCTCAATTTCAGAGCCTGTTATTGGTCTATTCAGGGATTCTACTTCTTCCTGGTTTAGTCTCAGGAGAGTATGTGTCCAGGAATTTCTCCATTTCTTCTAGGTTTTCTAGTTTATTTGCATAGAGGTGTTTATAGTATTCTCTGATGGTAATTGTATTTCTGTGGGGTTGGTGGTGATATCCCCTTTATTATTTTTTATTGCATCTATTTGATTCTTCTCTCTTTTCTTCCTTATTAGTCTTGCTAGCAGTCTATCAGTTTTGTTGATCTTTTCAAAAAACCAACTCCTGGATTCATTGATTTTTTGGAGGGTTTTTTGTGTCTCTATCTCCTTCAGTTCTGCTCTGATCTTAGTTATTTCTTGCCTTCTGCTAGGTTTTGAATGTGTTTGCTCTTGCTTCTCTAGTTTTTTTTTAATTGTGATGTTAGGGTGTCAATTTTAGATCTTTCCTGCTTTCTCTTGTGGGCATTTAGTGCTATAAATTTCCTTCTGCACACTGCTTTTAATGTGTCCCAGAGATTTTGGTATGTTGTATCTTTGTTCTCATTGGTTTCAAAGAACATTTTTATTTCTGCCTTCATTTCATTATGTACCCAGTAGTCATTCAGGAGCAGGTTGTTCAGTTTCCATATAGTTGAGTGGCTTTGAGTGAGTTTCTTAATCCTGAGTTCTAGTTTGATTGCACTGTGATCTGAGAGATAGTTTGTTATAATTCTGGTCTTTTACATTTGCTGAGGAGTGCTTTACTTCCAACTATATGGTCAGTTTTGGAATAAGTGTGACGTGGTGCTGAGAAGAATGTATATTCTGTTGGTTTGGGGTGGAGAGTTCTGTAGATGTCTATTAGGTCTGCTTGCTGCAGAGATGAGTTCAATTCCTGGATATCCTTGTTAATTTTCTGTCTCATTGATCTGTGTAGTGTTGACAGTGGGGTGTTAAAGTCTCCCATTATTATTGTATGGGAGTCTAAGTCTCTTTGTAAGTCTCTAAGGACTTGCTTTAATGAATCTGGGTGCTCCTGTATTGGGTGCATATATATTTAGGATAGTTAGCTCTTCCTGTTGAATTGATCCCTTTACCATTATGTAATGGCCTTCTTTGTCTCTTTTTATCTTTGTTGGTTTAAAGTCTGTTTTATCAGAGACTAGGATTGCAACCCCTGCCTTTTTTGTTTGTTTGTTTTCCATTAGCTTGGTAGATCTTCCTCCATTCCTTTATTTTGAGCCTATGTGTGTCTCTGCACGTGAGATGGGTCTCCTGAATACAGCACACTGATGGGTCTTGATTCTTTATCCAGTTTGCCAGTCTGTGTCTTTTAATTGGAGCATTTAGTCCATTTACATTTAAGGTTAATATTGTTATATGTGAAGTTGATCCTGTTATTATGATGTTAGCTGGTTATTTTGCTCATTAGTTGATGCAGTTTCTTCCTAGCATCAATGGTCTCTGCATTTTGGCATGTTTTTGCAGTGGCTGGTATCGGTTGTTCCTTTCCATGTTTAGTGCTTCCTTCAGGAGCTCTTGTAGGGCAGGCCTGGTGGTGACAATATCTCTAAGCATTTGCTTGTCTGGAAAGGATTTTATTTCTCCTTCACTTATGAAACTTAATTAGGCTGAATATGAAATCCTGGGTAGAAAATTCTTTTCTTTAAGAACGTTAAATATTGGCCCC